TTCATTGGAGCTTTTAATTTGCTCGCTGTTGTTCCCACCGCTGTTTTTGTTGTGCTGTAGGCATGCATGGCATTGGCATGGCAATTTTGGAGCTGCACGTGCGCTCCCTGGATATGTGCAAAAAGTGATTCCTTCTTGTTCAATTTGGAGCTTGGAAGAGCTTCCTCCTTCTTCGTTCAATTCTTCGTTCTTTCTTTTGCGTTCTTCCTCCTTCCGCAAAGGGATCCCGGGGCCCAATGCTGCATTTCCAGTTGCACTGGCTTTGTATTTAGGAATAAAAAAAATCTCAGGTAACAGAGCCAGAGGTAGGAATTTATTCTCGAGCTCTCATCTAGCCACATTCTGGGAGACCAATGTAGATCCTGCTTCCTTAAGAAGCTGAAGGTGCACTCAGACCAAGTTGGCTCACTCACCGTCTTTTCTCGAGCGAGTCATGGAAATGGGTGGCCCTGGGCTGCTTCTGGGCTGTTCCTGGTGGTCTCCTGTCCCCATTGTACCAGTTTCGATAGAGCCTGGTTTTCGGGCTCAACCAACCTCATCTGCTGAAACCCTCTGTTCATCCAAAAGTCGGAGGGAGGAAGGGAAGGGAAGGGAAGGAGGGAGGGAGGGAGGGGGGAGGGAAGGAAGGAAGGAGGGAAGGGAAAGGAAGGAAGGAGGGAAGGGAAGGAGGGAAGGGAAGGAAGGAAGGAAGGAAGAAAGTCATTAGAAAGTATGTTCATCAAAAAGTTGGAGGGAGGGAAGGGAAGGGAAGGGAAGGAGGGAGGGAGGGAGGGAGGAGGGAAGGAAGGAAGGAAGGAAGGGAGGGAGGGAGGAAAAACAAACCAAGTAAAGGAGGAGATGTAAGGAGGAAGGGAGGGAGGATTGAGACGGAAGGAAAGAAGTAAGGAAGGAGGGAGGGAAAGAAGGAAGGAGGGAGGGAGAAACAAGAAAGGAAGGGGATGTAGGGAGAGAGGAAGGAAGGGTTGAGATGGAAGGAAAGAGAATGGAGGAAGGGAGTGAGTGAGGAAGGAATGGAGAAAAGAAGGAAGCAAAGGGGATGGAGGAAGGGGAGAGAGATGAAGGAAGGAGGGAGGGAGAGAAGGGGGAGGGAGGAAAGAAGGAGAAACAAAGGAAGCAAGGAAGGGATGTAAAAAGGATAAGGAAGAAGGAAGGAGAAACAAGCCAAGGAAGGAAGGGGAGTGAGTGAATGAGTGATTGAGTGAGTGAGTGAGTGAGGGAGGGAGGAAGGAAGGAAGGAAGGAAGGAAGGAAGGAAGGAGAAACAAACCAAGGAAAGGAGGAAGGGAGGGAGGGAGGGAGGATTGAGATGGAAGGAAGGAGGAAGGGAGAAACAAACCAAGAAAGGAAGGGGATGTAGGGAGGAAGTAAGGAAGGAAGGGTTGAGATGGAAGAAAAGATAAGAGATAAGAGACGGAAGGGAGTGAGCGAGGAAGGAATGGAGAAAAGAAGGAAGCAAAGAAGGGAATGGAGGGAGGGGAGAGAAAGGAAGGAGGGAGGGAGGGAGGGAGAGAAGGGGGAGGGAGGAAAGAAGGAGAAACAAAGGAAGCAAGGAAGGGATGTAAAAAGGGTAAGGGAGAGAGAAACAAGCCAAGGAAGGAAGGGGAGGGTGGGAAGAAGGAAGGAAGGAAGGAAAGAGGAGGGAGGGAGAAATGAAAGAAGGAAGGGGAATGGAGGAAGGGGAGATGGGGGAAGGAGGGAGGAAGGAAGGAGGAAAGGAAGGGGTGAAAGGAAGGAAGGAAGCAAGGAAGGGGAGGGAGGGAGGGAAGAAGGAAGGAAGGTATGTAGTTTGGCTTGTTGTGAGTTACGGTTAAGCTACCAGTAGTTCAATCCGCACAACCTCCTGCCTGTTTACACAAGCCCCTTAAAGTCACTCGCTGTCCCCAGGCTCGGCCAGGCCTGAAGGATCAGGACCCCACAGTAAGTCCTAGCTAAGCCGTTTCATTGCTCAGGCAGCCTCTGCACAACAATGTCATCAACTGACGTTCAGCACTAAATTGGCATTAGATAGAATGAAAAGTATTCCTTCAGGAGGGGTTGGATGTAGCTCCACTTGTGGGAACGTCCTGATTCCAGGCTTATTCCTCTCTTGACTCCACCCTCCACGCCTTGAGTTAAAAAGTCCCCTGTGGCTTTTTAACTCAAATAGTTGATTGAGTTAAACTCAATTTTAACTCAAATAGTTGATTTCTCCAAACTTTCCTTTGAAATATTTTCTGGGGTTTCGCATCTGATCTGCAGCTGGAACGGTCAGGATGCTCCCGGACTCTGCCCAAACCGTCTGCCCCAGCAAGGGTCAAGCGGCATGGAGCTGAAGACGTGGGTTGAGGGCAAGAACGGTGATGGTTTATCTTGCAGGCAGAGAGGAGGGAGGGATCCGCTTAAGGTTCTCCAGCCTGGCTCCTTTCCAGATCTGCTTCGCTGGCATCCCTTTATCTCTCACGGCGACTTTGCAAAAAATGCCCCAATAGCATTTTGAAGACAGTTCTTGGCAGTTCATTACTTCTGCGCAAGAGATAAACGCGCTCTGGGAAAGCTGGCAGGCAAGTAACTAGGTTTGGGGTGTGTGTGTGTGTGTGTGTGTGTGAGAGAGAGAGAGAGAGAGAGAGAGAGAAAGAGAGAGAGAGAATAAAAAGAGTAAAATAAAAAGAAATAAGAGGAGAGAAAAAGAGAAAGAGGGAAAAGAGGAAGAGAGGGAGAAAGAGAATGAGAAAGAGAATGAGAAGAGGAAGAAAGTTTTTAGGGCCGTGCCCTAAAAACTTTTCTTTTCCATCAAGCAGGGCTGGCGTGAAACCCCCCCCTTTTTTTTTTAGTCTTTTTTAGCTTTTTAAATTGTCAAATGGGTTTTAGTTTTCGATGTTTTAAATTTTTCGGCCACGGTTATTTAATTCTTTTAATAATTTTAAATTTTGTATTGATATGTGTTTTAGTTCTGGCTGTGCACCGCCCTGAGTCCACTAGGAGAAGGGCAGGATATAAATTGAATAAATTAAATAAATAAATAAATGAATAATACATGAGAGGAAGAGGATGAGAGGAAGAGGGAGAGAAAGAGAGACAAAAGGAGAAGAGAGGAGACAGACAAAGAGGGTAAGAGAGAGAAAGAGGAAGAGAGCGGGAGAAAGAGAGAAAGGGAAAGAGAGAAAGGGAAAGAGAAAAAGAGAGAGGGGGAAAAAGAGAAGAGAGAAAGAGGGAGCGAGAGAGAGAAAAGAGAAAGAGAGAGAGAGAGAGAGAAAGAGAGGAATGGGAGAGTTTAAGATCCTGCACTAAAGCAGAAAAAAAAACAAATACACAGGAACAGAATAAGTGTTACTAGTAATTGTGGAGGGATCTTGGAGTCCTAGAGATTAATCCTTTAAATATGAGCCAGCCGTGTGCAGCAGCTGCCAAAAAAGCCAACACAGTTCTAGGCTGCATAAACAGAGGGATAGAATCAAGATCACGTGAAGTCTTAATACCAGTTTATGATGCCTTGGTAAGGCCACACTTGGAATATGGCATCAAATTTTGGTCACCACGATGTAAAAAAGACGTGGAGACTCTAGAAAGAGTGCAGAGAAGAGCAACCAAGAGGATTAGGGGACTGGAGGCTAAAACATGCAGAGAACGGTTGCAGGAACTAAATATGTTTAGCTTAGGGGAAGACCTGATAGCATCTTCCAGTCCTTGAAGGACCGTCACAGGGAAGAGGGGGATTGACTTGTTCTCCAAAGCACCCGAGGGTAGGAGAAGCAGCCATGGGTGGAAAATAATCAGAGAGATCCAAGCTGGAAATGAGGAATTTCCCGGCAGGGAGAACAATTAATCAAGGGAGCAGCTTGCCTCCCAGAGTCACGGTCACTCTGTCGCTGGAGGTGTTCAAGAAAAGATTGGACAGCCATTTGTCCCGGATGGTATAAGGCAGTGGTGAAATGTAAAATTGGTTACTACCGGTTCTGTGGGCACGGGGCGGGGGGGGGGGGGTGTTAATGTGACTGAGTGGGCATGGCCAACTTTTTAAAAAAAAACTTTTAAAACAATTTTTTCTACAACCTCTTTGGCCGAAGAGGTTGCAGAAAAAATGCTTTTAAAAGTAAAAAAAAAATAAAAAAGCCTCTGATGATCGCGCGGCTCAGCTGGGCATTGGGGGGGGAGGGATTTTTGCTACCGGTTCTCCGAACCATCCGCCGTTGCTACCGGATTGGGCGATCCGGTCTGAACCGGGAGTATTTCACTCCTGGTATAAGGACACCTGCCTTGGGCAGTGGGCTGGATTAGAAGACCTCCAAGGCAGCGGTGAAATCCTCTGAAGTCTGCTACCGGTTCTGTGAATCTGCTACCGAGCGCACGCTTTGCGCGCCTGAGGCACACCCGCGCAGTGCTAAAAAAGGAACATTTTGAAGCCTTCTGAGTCTGCAGAGGTAAGTAGAACAGTGAAGGGGGAGCGGGGAATCCACTGTGCCACGCGATTTAGACTAGCTAGAAAGCAGGAAATCTGACGATTCTAGCTAACATAAATCGTGCATCAGAGCTGATCGTCACCCAGCTGATCGTTGGAAATACCGGTTCGCCTAAACTGGTAGCATTTTTTTTTTTACTACCAGTTCAGGAGAACTGGTCTGAACCGGTAGCATTTCACCCCTGCTCCAAGGTCAGGGGTGAAATGCTCCCAGATCGGACCGGATTGCCCGATCTGGTAGCGATCTTGGCCGGTGGTTCGGCGATCTGGTAGCGATGGTGGAGCAAAGCTCCGCCCACCCGCCCAGGTGTCATTACTTCCTGGTTTTATCCAGGAAGTAATGTATTTTTTACCTTCTGCGCACAGCGCATGCACTTCCAAACTGGTAAGGAAGGTAAGTAGATTTCACCCCTGTCCAAGATCCCTTCTATGTCCCTTCTATGTCTAATCACAGTTCTATGATTCTATGTATCTCAGCCATATTCAAAAGGCTGGATCTTGGCTGATCCATAAATGCAGTTTTAACACGCAAACATTCAGGCGAAAGAAGTCAAAACAGCTCTGCATTTCATCTGACTGGATGAATATAATTTATTGGGTTTTAGAATCGCATCCAAGTTACAGGTGTAAAAAATAATAATCATCACAAACAGCCAGTATAAACGTGTAAAATAATACAAAAATAAAGGTAGAAGTACTTTTATATATTTACGGAATCAAGTTGTGGTAATAAATACAGGTAAGCCCAAAAGCTTCAATCACACCTTTTCAGTTTAACTGAAGTTACAGTAGAGTTTTTGTAAAAAATAACACATTTGACAGAGTCTTGCAAACGTGGTGAAAACTAGTATGAAACTTTCCATTTTGGCACCGGGTTAAAAAGAAAAGAAAAAAGAGAGACAACGGTTAGCGGAGTCGGTCACAACAGGGCACAAAGACAGTTTCTTACTAGTTTTCTGAGGTACGTTTTTAATCATTCTAAAAGTAGATTTAGCAATGCAGTTTCTAACAAACTCACAGTTTTATGTCTTATCCTTCCCCTAATCCCCTAACAACCCGGAGGGGATTCGAGAGCTTATCGGCTGTGCAAAATTCAGGAAAAATAATAATAAAAAAATTTTAAGAAGACAATTTCGGGCGCGCTTAAGGCCCCCCACTTGATGCTGCTGAAAATAGAAAGGGGGCTTGGGTCGAAAAAAAAAGGAAGCGGGGTCTGGAAGGTGACGATGACAGCCGTGTTTGAGGAGGTACCCCGGTGTCACCCCAAATGCCTGGCAGCATCGGTGTCATTTCATCCAGCGGAAAGCTTGCCCCGTCCGCCGTAACGAACGGCAGAGGAGGCCTGACCCAGAGTCAACCTTCTCCAGACGTTTTCCCCGTTTTTATTCCAGCAGCAAAGTTGGGGGGGCCATAAGCGTGCCGCTCTCTCTCAAGTTTGCAATCTGCCCACCCCCCCCACCCCACCCTCCCCGTATAACTTCAGCGACTTCTGACCACACTCAACCTCATGTCGATAGGAAACATCATCACACAAAACGGGCTACATGGGAAGTCAGCAAGCACGGAAACTCCTTGAGGACTCGACTGTGGCCTTTCCGCCGACGGAAAGGACCCCAAAAAATCTCGGGGAGCCGCGGTAACCCGAGAAAGCCTGTAATGGCACTTTGGATGGGGGAGTGTTCGCGGCTCCAGAGGGGCCGCTTTTTCAGTTTGTGTATGTGTGTGTGTGTTTTTTTTTTCTACAGCAGGCTAATTTTCTTTGCCACCCCTCCCCGATTAAAGGTCTATCAGCCCTGCCATTCCTCTTCCCCTTAAAATATATATTTCTCTCTCTCTATATATATATAATAAAATAAACAAAATCAGTTCCCCCCTTCATAAAAATGCTGTCGGTCTGTTGAAGCAATTCCTAACGGGGGGGAACCCCCCCCCCCGGCAATGACTTCAAATTCCCGACAGGATCAAGTATTTCTCCGTTTATTATTTATTTCAGTCCTCAAAGAGTTTGGAGATTTCATTCTTTAAAAGAACACCAAACAAAGCCTAACTATATATCTGTGCTAAATATGCTTTGCTAAGTTCAGAGTCCTTCCACCAAATGGTTTTTTTTTTTCCTCCCCTTCAAAAGAGGGGGCGAGAATTAAGGGCCGTGACGTCATCCAGGTGTCCAGATCGTCGGCGTTTTATTCGTCGGCGCCGCAAAAAAAAAAGGCACTGGTATGTCTCGGACAGGACCCTCGTCATCACAGTTTTAGAAATTATTTTGGCTATTTAATTCCTTCTCGCCCTATCTTACCCGGTTTAGGGGGAAAAAAACCCCACAATCGTAAATCACAGTTCCAAGATCAACCGAGTTGAGGTAATGAGACAAAAATAAAAATAAAAATATCCCTACCCAAAAAGAGAGAATTATTCACGTAGTACCGAGATGGTGGAAGGTCTTGAATCTAAAAATACGGTGATTTTTGTTTTAATATCCTTCTATTCTGCATGCAGTACAAAATACATCCTTCTCTACCTTATCTTCGCTTCCAGCTTCTGCTAAACGGCTGACTCGGCTGCGCAAAAAGCCGGCTTGCTTTTTTGCGCGACTTAACGCAACGCACAACACAGAAAGGGTTTGCCAATGGGACTCCCAGAGACGTATGAGGAGGAAACTTATTCTGCACCCTGAAAAAAATCTCTCATTCTGTCCCGCAGAGCTGTTCTGAAAAGCACTGTGCACGAGCTACTCATGGGCGTGAATTTTGGAGCAGCCAGACATAACGGTGGACGCTGTTGTGTTGGCTTCACACCTACATGGTTTATGTGGGCAAAAGACTGTGTTTAATCAGTGGTGGTTTTCAGCCGGTTCGGGCCGGTTCAGACCGGTTCGGGAGTACCGATAGCGGAGATCGCAGGTGAGATCGCAGCTTTGCTGGCTAGGGGATTCTGGGAGTTGAAGCCCACCCATCTTCAAGTCCCCAAGCTTGAAAAAACACAGCCTTGGAGAATTTGTTTTTCTGTGCGTTTGAGTTCAGCAGAGCTTTTAACGTCACAAACCTAATTCATTCGTAACAATTGCACTTAAAACCTACTCACTCTCCTTACCAACGCGGAAGCGGAGACAAACCAGGCTTATAAGCTGCCTTTGTCTCCACTTCCAGATGCTGGGTAGCAACAAGGTTATTTCTAAGATATATATCTATATGGCTTCGCGGATCATTAGACAAACTATGCTAAGCAAAAAAAACAACAACCCAGGAGCCTTCCGTAAATGTGGCCGGACGGGCAAATATTCTCCACCGGCGTTCCCTAGGAAGCGCTGGAGAAGCCGAAGGGTGTTTTCAGAATCACCATCTCTCATTGGATTAATTTCACCTTTCTGGATGTGTCCCGGTTTGGAGAGATATAATTCAGGCGGGATAAATCTGGAATTGCAATGCATTTTGTGCTAAAACCTGCATTTTCTGGGGGAAATGGTGAGAATCACCTTAAAACCCGCAGGACAACCATCCCATCTCCCAAAAAAACACCTGGTCTTTTCACCTGTGACAGCCACGTTGCTCCTCCTTAAACAATTCCTAGCTACGTTATTCCTACCAGGCACTATCAGTTACATCTGAAGAATTAACTAGCTTACAACCATGCATAGATAAAATTCACAATTCTCATAAGGACACTCTATTCGTCTGTAAAAGGGGGGGGCATCAGGCACCCCATGGAAAGCTTCGCGCGTGGATTTTAACCAGGAACCGCCAAGCTTTCCGTTTGACGGAAACCTCTGTATTCCTTGCAGACGTCCTACGGAACTAAAAATTAAGAAGCCACCATAAAGTATTCCAAAAGCTTGTCTGTTCTAGATCAACCTGGCCTCTATTTCCAAGGGGGAAAAAAAAAAAAGAAGAATGAATTAATTGACCTAAGAGGTAAATATCAAACGGCACCGAGGATTTTTTTCTTTGCAAAACATTTGAGGCATCGTTTCTCGGCCTGAAATGGATCGGCGCATTTTTTGTTACAACACAGCCCGCATTTTAATATGTAGCTGGCATTTCTTTAGAAGGGGGTTATCGAGAATTAGGACACTGGCTGCCAATCTCACTGGGTTGCTTAGAAGCAGCTTCATGGAATACTTTGGGGGGGGGGAATAATTCAAAGGCAGATGCTATTTTGGGGGCAGCCCGCAAAAATATTTACGCCCCCCCCGTTTTTGCTTTTAAGAGCAATTTAGAAATTAGAACGTGTTAATTTTGAGCATTCTTTAAGAATGCAAACCTTCTCCACTGCTTATTGTAGAAACAGACTCTATTTTGTACTTATCGTCACATTGTTACTTGTGGATTTGGGGCAGCTGCCTAGGAATATTAGTGTTCCTCCATTTCTCGTTTTAGGAACGTCATCTAAGCTGCCATGTTGGTTAGTAGTAGTCCTTAAGAACAGCTTTGTCCCCTCGTTTGTCCCTTGAGGAACATCTCCCAAAAACCTCAAATGTTTTTGTCCCCTATTTCTTACTGCATGTTGGTTAGCAGTGGTTCATAGGAACGAAAGTATTTGCCCGTTTCTTGGTTTAAGAACACCAACCAAGCCACCATGTTGGTCATTACCATATCTGGTTAAAAAGAGGCATGTTCCCCCATTTCTCGCTTTAGGAACATCTTCAAACCATCATATGTTGGTTTGAGGCACTCAAGATCACTTCTCGGTTTGGGAACACCAGACCATCATGTTGGTTAGTAGCAGCTCTTAAGGACAGTTGTGCTCGCTCCCTCAGTTCTCACTTTAGGATTATCTTCAAACCATCATATGTTGGTTTGAGGCACTGCCGGGATCATTTGTGTTCCCCCATTTCTCGCTTTGGGAACATCTTCAAACCATCATATGTTGGTTTGAGGCACTGTCAGGATCACTTGTGTTCCCTCAAATCTCGCTTTAGGAACACCACCAAGCCACCATGTTGGTAAGTAGCTGTCCTTAAGGACAGGAATGTTCCCCCCATTTCTCGCTTTGGGAACATCTTCAAATACCACAACATGTTGGTTTGGAGCAAATGTTAACCGTGTTCCCCCATTTCTCGCTTTGAAAACAACACCATGTTGGTTAGTAGCAGCTCTTAAGGACAGTTGTGTTCCTTCATTTCTCACTTTAGGATTATCTTCAAACCATCATATGTTGGTTTGAGGCACCGCTGGGATCATTTGTGTTTCCTCATTTCTCGCTTTGGGAACATCTTCAAACCATCATACGTTGGTTTGAGGCACTGTCAGGATCACTTGCGTTCCCTCATTTCTCGCTTTGGGAACACCATCAGACCATCATATTGGTTAGTAGCAGCTCTTAAGGACAGTTGCGTTTCCTCAGTTCTCACTTTAGGAACATCTTCAAACCCTCAAATGTTGGTCTGGAGCAGATCTAAAGATCATTTGTGTTCTCTCATTTCTCGCTTTGGGAACACCACCAGACCATCACGTTGGTTAGTAGCAGTCCTTAAGAACAAATATGTTCCCAGTTTTTTTGCTTTAGGAACATCTTCAAACCATCATTTGTTGGTTTGAGGCACCATCAAGATCATTAGTGTTCCCTCATTTCTCACTTTGGGAACATCTTCAAACCATCATATGTTGGTTTGAGGCACTGTCAGGATCATTTGTGTTCCCCCATTTCTCGCTTGGGAACATCTTCAACCCATCATATGTTGGTTTGAGGCACTGTCAAGATCATTTGTGTTCCCCCATTTCTCGCTTTGGGAATATCTTCAACCCATCATATGTTGGTTTGAGGCACTGTCAGAATCATTTGTGTTCCCCCATTTCTCGCTTTGGGAACACCATCAAACAACCATGTTGGTTAGTAGCACCTCTTAGGGACATATATGTTCCCTCAGTTCTCACTTTAGGAACATCTTCAAACCCTCAAATATTGGTCTGGAGCAGATCTAAAGACCATTTGTGTTCTCTCATTTCTCGCTTTGGGAACACCACCAGATCCATCATGTTGGTTAGTAGCAGTCCTTAAGAACAAATATGTTCCCATTTTTTTGCTTTAGGAACATCTTCAAACCATGAGATGTTGGTTTGAGGCACCATAAGGATCACTTGTATTCTCTCATTTCTTGCTTTTGGGAACATCTTCAAACCATCATATGTTAGTTTGAGGCACTGTCAACATCATTTGTGTTCTCCAATTTCTCACATTGGGAAAACCATCAAACCACCATGTTGGTTAGTAGCAGCTCTTAGGAACAGATGTGGCTCCTTAGTTCCCGTTTTGGGAACATCTTCAAACCATGAGATGTTGGTTTGAGGCACCATCAGGATCACTTGTGTTCCCTCATTTCTCGCTTTGGGAACATCACCAAACCACGATGTTGGTTAGCAGCAGTCCCTAAGGACAAGTATGCCCCCCCCCAATTCTCGTTTTAGGGACATCTTCAAACCACGACATGTTGGTTTGGGGCACTGTCAAGATTATTTGCGCTCCCACATTTTTCATTTTAGGAACATCTTCAAATCATGATATGTTGGTTTGAGGCACCGTCAAGATCACTCGTGTTCCCCCATTTCTCGCTTTGGGAACACCACCAAACCGCCATGTTGGTTAGGAGCAGCCTTTAAAAATAGGCACGTTCCTTCATTTCTCGCTTTAGGAACATCTTCAAACCACGATATGTCGGTTTGGGGCAGCTCTTAAGATCATTTACATTTCGCTTTGGGGTTATGGCCCGAAATCACAGGCCTTTTCAGATGCGTTTCCCTCAGGAATAAAGCATCCCTATTATGTCGGTCACTTAAACCTAAGCAAAAGCGTTTTGGGAAAAAAAACGTCAGAAAAAAAAAAAAGCAACGTGAAGGACCATCTCGACGATGCAGGAAATACAGCTTAGTATACCCCTACATCGCTTTTCCATGATTACTCGACAACGAATTTGGAAATATCCCACAAATATTACTGGGACCGTTATCACATTTTAAGGTGCCAGGCTAATGTGAATGCAACTTAAATATTTTTTTTTTTTAAACCAGCTTTTGTAAAGCTAGCCAAGATGAAACAACGATGTTTTCTTGCTGACAAATTAATTTTCAGAATGTAAAGAAGATCCCTGGGATTTTTTTCTGTACCGCAGGTGGATCCCGGCTTAGGTCTTCTGCTCGAAGAGATCGTGGTATTCTTGGTCGTCCAACTCTCTGTTGTACTTTTCAATCTCTCGGTTCGCCTCTTCCAAGTAATCGTTCATGAACTGGTCCATTACTGGGATGAAACCGTTAAGGAGAAGAAGAAGAAGAAGGAAAAAAAGCAAAACAAAACAAAAACAGGATTTCCGGGAAGAACTTGAGAAACGACTCCTAAACTGAAACTCTCATAAATATGAATCAACTGTCAAGCATCCCGAATGTAAATCACGTGACCGCGGGGAGGCTGCAATGGTCATAAGTGTGAAAAACGGTCGTAAGTCCCTATTTTCAGTGCCGTTGTAACTTCAAACGGTCAGTAAATGAACTGTTGTAAGTGGAGGACTACCTGTAGTGTTCGGCTTACGACCACAATTAAGCCCCCAGTTTGGGCCAATCACCAGGAGATGGTGTGTTTTAGTTACCCCCTGGGTAACTTTGGGCCAATCACTAGGAGACGGTGAGTTCTAGTCCTGCCTCAGGCATGAAAGCTGGTTGGGTGACTTTGGGCCAATCACCAGGAGACGGTGAGTTCTAGTCCCGCCTCAGGCATGAAAGCTGGTTGGGTGACTTTCGGCCAATCACCAGGAGACGGTGAGTTCTAGTCCCGCCTCAGGCATGAAAGCTGGTTGGGTGACTTTGGGCCAATCACCAGGAGACGGTGTGTTCTAGTCCCGCCTCAGGCATGAAAGCTGGTTGGGTGACTTTCGGCCAATCACCAGGAGACGGTGAGTTTTAGTCTCGCCTTAGGCATGAAAGCCAGTTGAGTGACTTTGGGCCAATCACCAGGAGATGGTGAGTTCTAGTCCCGCCTAAGACATGAAAGCCAGTTGAGTGACTTTGGGCCAATCACCAGGAGACGTTGAGTTCTAGTCCCGCCTTAGACATGAAAGCCAGTTGGGTGACTTTGGGCCAATCACCAGGAGACGGTGAATTCTAGTCCCACTTTAGGCATGAAAGCTGGCTGGGTGACTTTGGGCCAATCACCAGGAGACGGTGAATTCTAGTCCCACCTTAGGCATGAAAGCTGGCTGGGTGACTTTGGGCCAATCACCAGGAGACGGTGAGTTCTAGTCCTGCTTTAGGTGTGAAAGCTGACGGGATAATTTTGTGCCAATCCTTCTCTTTCAGCCCAACCCACCTCTCACAAGTGTTGTGGGGAAAACAGGAGGAGGAAAGAGTATTAGGTATGTTCATCAACTTAAGTTATTGATAAAAAATCAATAAAGGTGAGATATAAATAAAATAAAGGCATAAGTGAATGAAGGCTGCAAAACACACTACGTAGAACAAAAGATACGTGGGTGGTAATCCATCTTGTCGCCAAAGAAATTCACAAACTGAGTCCCGTTGTAGAAGTAGCCAGCTGGAAGTGGATCGAGGTGCCTTTTTACCTGGAATTCAGAGAGAGAAATATTGCTAAGGGTGGCACCCATAAAACACACTCCCACTGCAAGTCCCTAAATGTATATTTTAAAATTTTTAAATTTGCATAATTTTAATATCCTGTTTCCCCGAAAATAAGATCCAAACAGAAAATAAGCCCTAGCATGATTTTTCAGGATGCTTGTAATATAAGCCCTATTCCCAAAAATAAGCCCCAGTTAAGATCATCAGCAGACGGAGGCGTTTAGTACTGTATTTCCCCAAAAAATAAGACCTAACTGGAAAATAAGCCCTAATGCATCTTTTAGAGCAAAAATTAATATAAGACTCGGTCTTATTTTGGGGGAAATATGGTATTTTAATATATTTTAATTATTTTTCTATTTGTTTTATAGCCAGTAAGCCGCCCAGAGTTGCCTTATAGGGAAGATAGCCAGCCATAAAAACTTTAATAAATAAAAATATAAATAAATTAGGATCACGGGTGAAGCAAGCTTGTCTAGAAACGGAATCTTGTGACTCCCAACAACACACATGAAAACAGTCCCTTAGTACTAGCCCTAGCAGAAGAGGCCAAGTAGAGGTAGTCCTCGACTTAAGGCCAAAATTGAGCCCAACATTTCTGTTGCTAAGTGTAAGCATTTGTTAAAGTGAGTTTTGCCCCATTTTACGACCTTTCCTGCCACAGTTGTTAAGTGAACACTGCAGTTGTTTGGTTAATAACTCCGTTGTTATGTGAATCTAGCTTCCATATTGATTTTGCTTGTCAGAAGGTTACAAAAAAATGGAATTAATGTGATCCCGGGACACTGGAACTGTCATAAACATGAGAATTTTTTTTTTTTTTTTAAAAATTGACATTTGAAATTAGAGAACAGGAAGATAAACAATATTATTTGATATGGGATTTGTTTTATCAATGGACAGATAATAAAACATGGAATTGAAGTATGAAATATGGGGTTGAGGTAAAGATAAAATATCTGATGTTTTTTTTTCTATAAAAGATACACGTTTTTGTTATAAATTGGTATTTTAGAAATGGATTTATGCACAAGAGAATACGAACCGTTTGACTCACTGTCTGTAAATGTTTGGAACGATGATGGTTTTATGTTTTGTTTTTGTTTTAAAATAAACACGAGAATTTTGTGTTTATTGTGCAATGGTCGTAAGTGTGAAAAACGGTCGTTAAGTCGCTTTTTTCAGTGCTGTTGTAACTTCGAACAGTCACTGAGTTGTAAGTCGAAGACTACCTGTACACAACTCTTAGAAACAGATTAACAGAGTTGGGAGGGACCTTGTAGGTCATCTACTCCAACCCCCCTTCCGAGGAGACCCTACTCGGAGGAAAAGCATGTGCAAACTGCAAATGTTCAGCAAAGGGAAGGGAGAGCATTCTGCCTTTTAGTTAAGCAGATTAAATTAAATAATAAATAAAGACGGAAGGGACGAGAGTAGACAAAACAACAGCCCATCCATGGAGTCGTGACTCCAGTCGAGATGAAGACGTGACTGTCTTCCTTATGTCTTTTATCGGCTTTTATCTACTTTATATTCCAAAGCACCAGAAGGCAGGACAAGGAACAACGGATGGAAACTCATCAAGGAGAGAAGCAACCTGGAATTAAGGAGAAACTTCCTAGCAGTGAGGACAATTAACCAGTGGAACAGCTGGCCACCAGAAGTTGTGGGTGCTCCATCACTGGAAGTTTTCAAGAAGAGACTGGACAGCCACTTGTCTCAAATGGTCTAGGGCAGGGATGGCTAACCCTTTTGCCCTCGCGCGCCAAAAGTGGGGAGAGCGCAGGGGGCGGGGGGGGTCACACGTCCGTGTGTCCACACCCTAATTCAATGCCCCCCCAACATCCTGGCCCCCCCACGCATGTGTGCGCAAACCCCCTGCGCTCCCCTGCACATGCGCGCATGAACCCCCGCGTCTCATTTTGGGCAGGAAATGGCCCGTTTTCAGACTTCCGGTAGGCCCGTTTTTCATCCTCCCAAGAGGCTTTCTTGGAGCCTGGGGAGGGTAAAAGTGGCCTTCCCCGCCCCGCCTAGAATCCCTCCGGAGGCCAGAAATGGCCTGTTTCCCGACTTCTGGTGGGCCCGGAAGGCCTGTTTTTCACCCTCCCCAAGCTCCAGAATCTTTCCTGGAGCCTGGGGAGGGCGAAAACTGCCTCCCCCACCCCACAGAGGCCCCCTGGAGGCCGAAAACATCCTCCCAGAGCTTCCGCGCGAACCCTGTCGTCACCTGGCATCCAAAACTGGCCACGCGGAGACTCTTAGGCAGGGAGGGGTGGTGTGGGCGGGGCCAGCCGAAAATCAGGGAGCTGAGCTAGGACAACGGCTCGCGTGCCCGCAGATATGGCTACGCGTGCCACCTGTGGCACATGTGCCATAGGTTCGCCATCACGGGTCTAGGGTCTCCTGCTTGAGCAAGTAGCTGGACTAGAAGACCTCCAAGATCCCTTCCAGCTCTATTCTGATGGGTTGATTGATACTTTTTGCTCGGCTCGGCTTACTCAGCTGCTCCTACCCAGAAGCCATTTTAGTTTAGTTTAGTTTAGTTTATTGGATTTAGTTTATTGGATTTATATACCGCCTTACTCCCGAAGGACTCAGGGCGGTGAACAGCCACAGAATAAAACACATAAATACAAAAATTTAAAATAGAATAAAAACGAATTAAATAATTTGGCGGAGACAAATTTAAAATAACCAATAATTTAAAAACCAAATTAAAATTTACACTTAAAAGGGGAAAAGATTTTGCTCACTTACGTGAATGTTCTTGATCTCCTGGGATGTCAACATGCCCCGTGTCTTCAGAGCTTTTCGTTGTGGTTTCTGTGTTTGGGTGAGACAAAGGAAAAGCCAGTTTAGCTTATTTAAAATCCACATGAAGAACTAAAAAAACCCCACAAAAAAACAGGGTCGGATAAATGTAGGGTATAATCTGAGAACGATTGTTTGGTTTGAACAACTTAAACCATTGTCCACCAAACAAACCACCATCCACCAAACAAACCAACATCCACCAAACAAACCAACATCCACCAAACGGATGCTCAGGGGTCCCAGCAGTTTCTCCTCTTAGAATAACGACCCATGATATGTGAATGGAAAGAGGAAGAATTTTTGGAGAGAAAAATTTAGAATGCTTACAAGGCACAAACGTGAAATTCAACAGGGACATAGGTAGTCCTCAAGTTATAACCATTCATTTAGTGACCGCTTCAAGTTACAATGGCATTGAAAAGCGGGACAAGAAGCAGCAGATGGAAACCAACCTAGAACTAAGGAGAAATTTCTTGACTGTGAGAACAATTACAGGTAGTCCTCGACTTAACGGCAGCTCATTTAGTGACCGTCTGAAGTTACAACGGCACTGGAAAAGTGACTTATGAACGTTTTTCACTCCGTTGACCGTTGGACCATTTCCATGGTCACATGATCAAAATTTGGACGCTTGGCAACTGACTCGTATTTATGACAGTCGCAGTGTCCCTGGGGGGGGGGGGGGGTCACGTGATCCTCTTTTACGACGTTCTGACAAGTAAAGTCATTGGGGAAGCCAGATTCACTTAACAACCGGGTTACTGACTTAACAAGTGCAGTGATTCATTTAATAACTACGCTTTAAACTGTATTTTATTCCAATTCCATTTTAAATCGTATTTTATTCCAATTTCATTTTAAATCGTATTTTATTCCGATTTCATTTTAAATCGTATTTTATTCCAATTCCATTTTAAATCGTATTTTATTCCAATTCCATTTTAAATTGTATTTTCTCAGATTTTAGTAATCATTTGTGTCTGGAACTCTGCACTTCGACATGGCCCAAGGGCTAATCAATAAAATAAAACTCAACCAAACTCAACTGCGACAAGAAAAGTTGTAAAATGGGGGCAAAACTCAACCAATGCCTCACTTAGCGACATAAATTTTGGGCACCTTTGTGGTTGTTAAAAGTCGAGAACTTTTCAGCGTTGTATGCTAGCTAAAGTAGCTTTGCAGCTTGAAGTCACCTGGCGTGTTGGCAGCCCACCGGATGTGACCCTGATATTCAAGGTCGACAACATTCCTACCACTATTTTACTGGGGGGGGACGTAACACGAGGACTGTGACCACCAAATATTCAGACTCAAATCTCGAAAGCCGCCGTGGAAACTTGGCCGGCAATTATCTCAGAGAAGACTGTGAGACTGGGATAGCCTTGGCGCCAGGAGTGGTGGGCCGCTCCTAATCCAGATATGTTTAATTTAATATCTGACCTAGCACAAGGCTTTCGGCTTTGATCTCTTAAATCTGGAGGCCGCTCAACTGGATTTGACCCAATCACGGCAGGTGCCAATACTGGAAATATAAATGGGGGCCGGTGGATCCTCCTAACTGTAACGTCTTGCAAACCTGACATCGTATTGCGACGGAATGCCACCCCCCCACCCCACCTCTCAAAAATGTTCTCTGGATCCCTGCCTGAAATTCAGCATCTCGAGGACAGTGCTACCTAATGGTTAAACAGATCTAGATATCCGGCCAGAGGCTTAGCCACTCTAGTAACTGCTCGTATACGATTTAATTTTATTCACAATTTTTATGCCTCGCGAGGGCTGGTTTTTTTAAAAATGGTTCTCACTGCTGTTCGCCGTGTTTTATGGTGTTTTTTTTTGTGTGTAAGTTTTTATATTTCGGTACACCTTTCATATGCTTTGGTGTGCAATGGGTGGAAACTCATCAAGGAGAGAAGCAACTTCCACCTCTCTTGTTCTGTTCTGTTCTGTTCTGTTCTGTTCTGTTCTGTTCTGTATCCTATCCTATCCTATCCTATCCTATCCTATCCTATCCTTCATTATTCTATTCTATTCTATTCTATTCTATTCTATTCTATTCTATCCTATCCTATCCTATCCTATCCTATCCTATCCTATCCTATCCTATCCTATCCTATCCTTCATTATTCTATTCTATTCTATTCTATTCTATTCTATTCTATTCTATATTCTATTCTATTCTATTCTATTCTATTCTTTCTGTTGATACACCTTTCATATGCTCTGGTGTGCAATGGGTGGAAACTCATCAAGGAGAGAAGCAACTTCCACCTCTCTTGTTCTATTCTATTCTATTCTATTCTATTCTATTCTATTCTATTCTATTCTATTCTATTCTATTCTATTCTATTCTATTCTATTCTATTCTATTCTATTCCATTCCATTCCCCTTCCCTTCTATTCTACTCCATTCCATTCCATTCCCATTCTATTCTATCCTATCCTTCATTTATTCTATTCTATTCTATTCTATTCTATTCTATTCTATTCTATTCTATTCTATTCTATTCTATTCTATTCTATTGATACACCTTTCATATGCTCTGGTGTGCAATGGGTGGAAACTAATCAAGGGGAGAAGCAACTTAGAACAAAGGAGAAATTTCCTGACGATCAGAACAATTAACCAGCGGAACAACTTGCCTCCAGAAGTTATGAATGCTCCAACACTGGAAGTTTTTAAGAAGAAATTGGACAACCATTTGTCTGAAATGGTGTAGGGTTTCCTGCCTGAGCAGGGGGTTGGACTAGAAGACCTCCAAGGTCCCTTCCAATTTGTTGTTCTGTTCTGTTCTATTTTATTCCAATGATACACATTTCATATGCTTGTTTTTTGTTAGGTTTTTATGCATTAGCGCTGTATTTTGTTATAGGGGTTTCATTGCCAACGGCGTCTCATCCAGGATTGTGGTTGGCTTAAACCAACTAACGTTTTTTTCCCTCCGTTGAAAAATTCATATTGTGAGAAGAGGAAGGAAAATGTTTTATAAATGACAACCGAGAGGCTGAGGCTTTACATTTGACAGTCTGATACATTTTTAAACGATTTGGCACATATATCAAAGAGCCAGAAATCAAGCGTTACATCTGATGAAATGTCCCGGAGATCGATTTCCATGCGATGTTCAGAACCGATACGCATTAATTAGGTGAATCACGGATGCGGATTGTGAGGCGGTTTATGAATTTTAAGATGCTTTTTAAATGTCAAGCTTCCGAAAAATCTCTTTTAATGTGCGAAACATAGCTAGACTGTGTGGGTTTGAATTTTAAGATATGTGTGTGTATGCACGCACAGAAATTGCAGATAATGGACTTTCTGCTTTGCTCCTTTGCTTATAAGAACTATGCCCGTTTTCAACCCTTAACACAATCTAATATATGAAATATTTCTGCACTTCAACGTCTACTCTCCAAAGCAACAGAGGGCAGGAGAAGAAGCAACGGATGGAAACTAATCAAGGAGAGAAGCAACCTGGAATTAAGGAGAAATTTCCTGACAGTGAGAATTATTAACCTGTGGAACTGCTTGCCTCCAGAAGTTGTGGATGCTTCATCCCTGGAAGTTTTTAAGAAGAGGCTGGACAGACATTAATACAGAATGGTAGAGAGTCTCCTACACGAGCATGCGGGTTGGACTAGAAGACCTCCGAGGTCCCTTCCAATTCTGTTATTCTATTAACACTAAGAGTTAAGAAGCACATGGTATGTGCTTCAGACACATGCACATACATGTCTGTGTATGTTTATGTCTATACATATACACACAGATACAAATACACGTACAGGCAGTCCTTGACTTACAACAGCTTGTTTAGTGACCGTTCAGAGTTACAACGGTACTGAAAAAAAGGACTTATGACCATTTTTCACACTTACGACGGCTTAGTGGGGTGGTGGTGGTAATATGACTGAGTGGGCGTGGCCAACTTTTTTTTTTACTTTTAAAACCATTTTTTTTACAACCTCTTCGGTTGTAAAAAAAAATGCTTTTAAAAGCCTCTGATGATCCCAGCTGAGTTGCCTGATCGGCAGAGGCTTTTTTTCTTTAAAAACATTTTTTTTCTACAACCTCTTCGGCCAAAGAGGTTGTAGAAAAAATGCTTTTAAAAGCCTCTGACAATCCCAGCTGAGTTGGCTGATCGGCAGAGGCTTTTTTTCTTTAAAGAAAAGGCCGAAGAGGTTGTAGAAAAAATGCTTTTAAAAGCCTCTGACGATCCCAGCTGAGCCGCACGATCATCAGAGGCTTTTTTTTTTAACTTTTAAAAGCATTTTTTCGGCCGAAGAGGTTGTAGAAAAAATGCTTTTAAAATTTTTTAAAAAAGCCTCTGATGATTGCAAGGCTCAGCTGTGCATGGGGAGGGGCAGGGATTTTTGCTACTGGTTCTCTGAACCACCCGCCGCCATAGCTACTGCATCGGGTGATCCGGTCCGAACCGGGAGCATTTCACCCCTGCCCAGAACCAATCTCACTAACTAGTAATTATCCAAGCACTTCTACTTGGTTTTATATATATATATATATATATATAAAAGAAAAGTCGGAAGGTCACAGTGAAAGAATTCCAGCTACTGCTGTGTTTGAAAAGAGCCTTGGTAGTACAGTGGTCTAAGGCACCCTGTTATTAACACAGCTGCCTGCAATTACTGCAGGGTTCAAATCTCTCCAAGGCTCAAGGTTGACTCAGCCTTCCATCCTTTCAAAGGTAGGTAAATTGAGGACCCAGTTTGTGGGGGCAATAAGATGACTTTGTATAAATATACAAAAGGATGAAGGCTATTGCTTAACGCATTGTAAGCCACCCTGAGTCTCCGGAGAAGGGCGGCATATAAATCAAATTAAAAAAAAAAAAAAAAAGCAAGCCCTATTTATTGAATTTTGTCTTCAGACCTTTTTCTGCCCCCCTTTTTTTTCCCCTCCTCTGGTCCACCCTACGGAACTGGTTGCCCGCCCTCCTTTCTGCGGAAAGCCTCTCTTGCCATCTGTCCCTTATCTCTGCAAAGGTCGGATCTGCTGTCTAGTTGGTGGTTTTGTGAGTTGGTGAGAACTTAACTCTCCGTGACTTTCCTTTTAAAAGCATTTTTTCGGCAGAAGAGGTTGTAGAAAAAATGCTTTTAAAAATAAAAAAAAAGCCTCTGATGATTGCAAGGCTCAGCTGTGCATGGGGAGGGGAGGCAGGGATTTTTGCTACTGGTTCTCTGAACCACCCGCCGCCATAGCTACCGGATCGGGCGATCCGGTCCGAACCGGGAGCATTTCACCCCTGCCCAGAACCAATCTCACTAACTAGTAATTATCCAAGCACTTCTACTTGGTTTTATATATATATATAAAAGAAAAGTCGGAAGGCCACAGTGAAAGAATTCCAGCTACTGCTGTGTTTGAAAAGCAAGCTCTATTTATTGAATTTCGTCTTCAGACCTTTTTCTGCCCCTCCTTTTTTTCCCCTCCTCTGGTCCACCCTACGGAACTGGTTGCCCGGCCCTCCTTTCTGCGGAAAGCCTCTCTTGCCATCTGTCCCTTATCTCTGCAAAGGTCGGATCTGCTGTCTAGTTGGTGGTTTTGTGAGTTGGTGAGAACTTAACTCTCCGTGACTTTCGCCTGCCACCGGGCACCCGGTCGTCGGGAGAACCGAGATTAGCTCACCCCGACAGATGTCTCGAAGCCCACGAGAAAAGCAGAAGGGCGCCAGGGTTTGGTGACAGCGGGAAAAGTTGAAGCCGCCGTGGCTCTGTTGTTGCTGTTCTCGAGACGAGGAGCGCATGCAAATTATCTTTATGTAACAGATTTCTCTTGAACCACATTTGCAAATAAAATTCAAGAATCCTTAATCCGGGTAAGATCGCTTCTCAAAGTCAGTTTGCAATGACAGCAGGGGTATCAAAGCAGATGTTCCAGTCAGGAGCTCCGACGTTGAAAATCAGTCTGCGCTGAAATTTCATAACCTAATGCAGGGATGGCTAACCCTTTTTGCCATCACGTGCCAGGAGCGGGGTGGGGGGGTTTGCGCGCGTGCGTGCCCACACCCATAATTCTATGTTACCTGTCCCCGCGCACGTGCGTGCAACCCCCCCTCCCTCTCCCCACATGCGATGGCATGGTAGGCCCATTTTTTTGCTCTCCCCTGCCTCCAGAGCCTTTCTAGGAGTCTGGGGAGGGCGAAAACAGCCTTCCCCACCCTCTGGAGGCCCTCCGGAGGCCGGAAACAGCCCGTTTGCCAACTTCCGGTGGGACCAGAAGGCCCGTTTTTTGCTCTCCAGAGCCTTTCTAGGAGTCTGGGGAGGGCGAAAACGGCCTTCCCCCCGCCCCCCGGAGGCCAAAAACAGCCCATTTGCCAACTTACGGTCCCACTGGAAGTTGGCAAACGGGCTGTTTCTGGCCTCCGGAGGGCCTGGGGTGGGGGGAGACCATTTTCATCCTCCCCAGACTCCTAGAAAGGCTCTGGAGGCTGGGGAGAGAAAAAACTGGGTCTTCCCCCCACCCCAAGGTCCTCCGGAGACAGGAAACAGCCTGTTTCTTTACTTCTGGTGGGCCCAGTAGGCCCAAAAATCAGCTGGCCAGCACGCATGTGCGCGCCGGAGCTGAGCTCACGTGCCCACCGATATGTCTACACGTGCCACCTGTGGCACGCGTGCCACAGGTTCGCCATCACGGACCTAATGTATTTCTTCGCAATGTGGGCATCACAGGTGGCAGGTTCTCCAGCTTTCAGAGCCAAAACACCTCACTTAGATGCCCTTCAAGAGATAGACGTGAATCTGCCTTTGGAAGAGAGCTTGGAAACTTCAGCTGATGGCAAATATCTAGCAAGAGCACTGAGTTGGCATGTTCATCGTTCCGTAGTTCATACAGAATTTATGTTCTTTATGTTCCATACATACATTCATACATATATGCATAAATAAAGTTCATACATACTTTATGTTTATACACAGTTCATACATACGTCATGTTCATAGATAACTTTATAAAGCCTTAGTAAGGCTGTACTTGGAATAAAGATAAAGGTAAAGGTTCCCCCTCTCACATACGTGCTAGTCGTTCCCGACTCTAGGGGGCCGTGCTCATCTCCGTTTCTAAGCCGAAGAGCCAGCATTGTCCGAGTCGTCTCCGTGGTCATGTGGCCGGCATGACTCAACGCCAAAGGTGCACGGAACGCTGTTCCCTTCCCACCAAAGGTGGTCCCTATTTTTCTACTTGCATTTTTTAAGTGCTTTCGAACTGCTAGGTTGGCAGAAGCTGGGACAAGACACGGGAGCTCACACACTAGGGATTCGAACCGCTGAACTGCCGACCTTTCGATTGACAAGCTCAGCGTCTTCGCCACTGAGCCACCGCGTCCCTTTGAAATTCATAACAATGCATTTTTTTTGCAATGTGGTTCATCACATCTCAATTGTGGTTTTGAGATGAGGACGTGTACAGTGAGTCCTCGACTTACAACAGTTCACTTAGTGACCACAGTTACCACAGCACTGAAAAAAGTGACCATATGACCATTTTTCACACCTACGCCCATTGCAGCAACCAGGGTCATGTGATTTACATTCGGATGCTTGACAAGTGACTCACATTTATGACGGTCACATGATCCCCTTTCGCGACCTTCTGACAAGCAAATTCAAAGGAGGAAACCGGATTCCCTTAACAACCGGGTTACCCGTTTAACAACTTCGGAGGATTCACTTCACAAATGTGGCAAGAAAAGTCGTAAAATGGGCCGAAACTCACTTAAACAAATTTCTCACTTAGCAAACAGAAATTTTGGGCTCAATTGTGGTCGTAAGTTGAGGACTACCTGTAGTTTCCCTTCCCTCCCCACAAGGAATCCGGCAGAGAGGCTCACCTGTTTGGCCGTTTGCCTCAGCCAGTCTTTGATGTCGTCTTCTTTGAGGGAGCATCCCACAAACACCAGGAAGCATTCCTGAGATCCGGGGTAGTCCCGGTTCTCGGTTCTGGAATCAGGAGGGGAGGGGAGGGGCCCCTCCTGGACAGGTACCAGGTTTAAGGTGTTGGAAGATGCGTGGTGACATACTTCAACCATCCGGTCAGAATCTATGTCAAAGAAACGGCAAAAGAGGAGAGGGAGGGTTATTAATGGAGTGAGGGATGGGTGGGCTCTGAGGTGCTCTCAGGTGTAAGACTGAGAGCACCTCAGGTTTTGCTCCCCAAAGACCCCAGACCCCAGAGACCCCAGACTCAGTAGCCATAAAGGTCCCTTTGGCCAAGGTTGAGTAGGGCTTCCATCTCTTCTTAATACTAGGAAAAATAAATACCAACCGTGTCCAACAATTATTACGGCTGGACAACTATTTCTCTGAAATGGTATATGGAAACGGTGCCCAACCTTACCATTTTGGTGGCCCAGTATGGAGAGGGGGGGGGCTTGTGTGTGGCAGGCCTACATGCATGCTCCCAGCTCCATTGGTGTGAGCAGAGTGAGCCCTCCGCTCGAACAAATGGAGCTTTGCACGTGACATGAGGGCACTGGCTCCCGGTGGTCTTCCGGGTGCGCTTCAAGGTTTTGGTTACCACCTTTAGAGCGCTCCATGGCTTAGGACCTGGTTATTTACGGGACCGCCTACTACCACAAGCAGCCTCCCACCGGCCGGTACGCTCTCAGAGAGGGGCTCCTCCGGGTGCCGTGAGCTAAACAATGTCGACTGGCGGCCCCAGGGGGAGGGCCTTCTCTGTGGGGGCACCCACTATGTGGAACGAGCCCCCCCCAGAGATACGGAGGATCCCGGATCTGCGCACTTTCCGCCGTGCTCTTAAGACTCTCCTATTCCAGCAAGCCAGCCTGGCCTAATTTTCTCCCGTTTTAAAATTCTTTTACATCAAAATTTTAATCTGTTTTAAGTTATTGGGATTTAAGATCTCCGACCTCTGGGTATTTCGTTGCGCACTAAAGACCCTGTTGTTCCGCCAGGCTGGGCTATCAACATAACAATTTTAAATTGGGTTTTAAATTTCTGGGGTTTTAAAATTTAGCCGAATTTATTTAATAATTTTAAACTATTTTAACTGATGTTGTTTTGTGTTTTTAATAGGCTGTACACCGCCCTGAGTCCTTCGGGAGAAGGGCGGTATAGAAATAAAATTATTATTATTATTATTATTATTATTATTATTATTATTATTATTATTATTTAATTGTCTCGGGCTAAATTATTTAATCTGGTTTTAATTATGTTCTTAACTTTTGTATTTATGTATTTTATTTTATGCCTGTTCACCGCTCTGAGTCCTTTGGGAGTAGGGCGGTATATAAATCTAATAAAACAAACAAACGAACAAACAAACTTGTATGCTTGCCCATTGAGGTTGAGGCTAAACAGTTACCTGAAAACTTGACTTTCCCAAAAATGTGGTATATGTTTCCAGAGAACGGGCTCGATTTGTTAGATGACTTCAAAGCTGTTTGAAAAGACAATATGGTGGTTAGAGCAGCGTTTCTTAACCTTGGCAACTTTAAGAAGGGTGGACTTCAACTCCCAGAATTCCCAGGCAGCCATGTTGACTGGGGGATGCTGGGAGCTGAAGTCCACCCATTTTCGTGTATTTCTAATTACGGCTTAAACCCAGCTGAGCTGAATTATCAAACTGGATCACAATTAGAAGTTTAACTTCTAATGGCATCTTAAGAAAGGTGCGATTGCCATTTTTTTCCCCTCTCAAAGAAGGGTGTGAGGCAGAGTGTCCACCTGTGAGCAAAAAAAAATCAAGATGGTGTCTACAAGGATTTGATCAAGGAGCTGCCCCTTTGGATCTGCCTGGGTGGCTGAAGAAACATTTAGCATCGTTTTGGGTTTTTGCAAGATCTTATAAGGAGAATTTGATCTCCCTCTAATTCAGTGTTTCTCAACCTTGGTGACTTTAAGAAGGGTGTTGAAGTCCCTTCTTAAACTCACCAAGGTTGAGGAACACTGAATTAAGAGAAATACAGCTGAATATGCACATTTTACCCCCAAGTAAGCCTGGATAGCTCAACAGACAGAGCACTGTAATTTAACACCAGCTGTCTGCAATTAAAGTAAGATCGAATCTCGCCAGGCTCAAGGTTGACTCAGCCTTCCATCCTTTCTAAGGTAGGTAAAATGAGGACCCGGATTGTGGGGGCAATAAGCTGAGTTCGTATAAATATACAAAAAGAATGAAGGCAATTGCTTAGCGCATTGTAAGCCGCCCTGAGTCTCCGGAGAAGGGCGGCATATAAATCAAAATTTTTTAAAAAAAGTACCTCTGCATAAGATAAAAAATTATACCCTAATGAAGACTTATGTATATTATATAAGGATTATAAGGATTTATAATGTTGAGGGAAAAATTTGTCGAGGGAAATTTGTCGAGGGAAAAATTTGCTTCAAGAAAAACCATTTTCTGTTTTTTTTAAAAGAAGCGTTCTAGGATCGGATACACCAATGTGAAAACAACGACATTACTTGGGGGTTTTTAAACCAGAAAAATTACAGTAAAATATACTTCATCTGAAGTTTACCGAGGCTGCCTCTTCTGATAAAAGAGTTTCAGCCATATATTCTTGTTAGCCATTCCAGAGGAAAACAAAATGCACACATGTTAAGACTCCACGTCGCTGGGGGGGGGGGGGAAAGATAATTTACCTTTACATTTGGCTGCAAAGCGCATTTTCTCCAAAGGGCGGTTAAACCACACGCAAATTTGGACCATGGGCGGGAAGACAGAACCGGCTCTAAATTTCCCATCAAACCTGAAAGGGGGGAATAAAATTGAACTATTTAAAAGGAAAATATCCACACTTAATAACGAATTGCTTTTTGAAAATCAGGCAAATTGAATTAAAGGATGATTTTACATTTTTGAGCATGCTTCCCAAGGAGAGACACAGATGAAGAAGAGATAATGACTCTGTAGTCGCAGAAAATATATTTTGTCCGGAGCTGTCTGCTTTGAACTTGGCATGTATGTTAAAAAAAGCATTAAATAATAATCTACAATAGGTGATGATACAAGTAGTCCTCGACTTAGGACCACAACTGAGCCCAAAATTTCCATCGCTAAGCAAAACAGCAAAGTGAGCTTTGCCCCATTTTACAACCTTTCTAACCACGGTTGTTAAACAAACCGCTGAAGTTGTTAAGTGAATCATGCGGTCGTTAAGCAAATCTGGCTCCCCACACTGACACTCTGGGAAGGTTACAAATCTGGGAAGGTGATTACATGACCCCGGGACATTGCAACTGTCACAAGTACATGCCAGTTGCCATGTGCCTGAATTTCGATCATGTGACCGTGGGAATTCTCTGATGGTCGTAAGTGTGAGGATCGATCGGAAGGGACATTTCCAGTGTTGTTGTAATTTTGAATGGGTCATTAAATGAATAATTCTAAGTCGAGACTACTTATACTTCTGCCTGGTTTGGTCACAACTTGAGAATAGCCCCTAATTTGGGTTGCCATAGCAAGTTGTTGTTTTTCCTGAAATAAAAAATGGTTAAGGAACGTGTTAAACATATGTGCACCTCAAAACAGAACAGGTCCAAAAAATTGCAACTTCATGTGATAATATAAACAGTGTGAGAAAGGTTCCAGATGTGCTGGCCTGCAGCTGGAAGGGCTGGGCCGCGGGAGGGAGATTAAGTTTTGGAAATAGCAGAGAAGAAACCTTCCTAAAAATTCTTATCCAAAAGGGATAAGGCTCTGTTTACCTTAATAAAAGTGCATTCTGGGAAGCCCGACATACAAAAGATATCAGCACTAATTAAAGGTGGGGGGGAGAATTAATGGCAATTAAGTAGGGGATAGGAATCCTCTTAAATCAGGGCTTTCCAAAGTTGGCAACTTTTAAGACTTGTGGACTTCAACTCCCAAAATTCTTCGGCCAGGAGGAATTCTGGGAGTTGAAGTTCACAAGTTTTAAAGTTGCCAAGTTTGGGAAACCTTGTCCTAAATTGCCTTGGTTCTTATAAATCAGGGACCGCCAAACAGGGCTACTTTTAAGACTTGTGGACTTCAACTCCCAGAATTCCTCCTGGCTGAAGAATTCTGGGAGTTGAAGTCCACAAGTCTTAAAAGTTGCCAAAAAAAAAAATCTTTCCCAGCTCAAATCTTAAGCATGTATCTTCCTTTAAAAGTAGTCCTTGACTTATGAAACGTTGGAAGTTATTATTTATGACCCAGATTTAAAATTCTGACCATCACTCCTCTGGTGATTACCATATTTTTCAGAGTATAAGACGCACCTTCCCCCCCCCCCAAAAGAGGGTGAAAATCTGGGTGCGTCTTATACTCCGAATGTAGCCCTGCCCAGCTTCTCAAACAGAGGTTTCAGAGACTGAAAAAAGCATCAGAAACGAAGCTTCAGAAAAAAAAGCCTCTAAACAGAGCTTCAGAAAAAAAGCCCCCAAACAGAGCTTCAGAAAAAAAGCCTCCAAACAGAGCTTCAGAAAAAAAAGCCTCCAGAGCTTCAGAAAAGAAGCCTCCAAACAAAGCTTCAGAAAAAAAGCCCCAAACAGAGCTTCAGAAAAAAAGCCTCCAAACAGAGCTTCAGAAAAAAAAGCCTCGAAACAGAGCTTCAGAGGCTTTTTTTCTGAAGCTCTGTTTTGGAGGCTTTCAGAGGCAGGAAAAAAAGTTTTTTCTGAAATAGTTTTAAAAGTTTCAGGGGCAGAAAAATAAAGCAAAAAAAAAAAAAAAAAAGCAAGGCACAGAGCTCACAACCAAGGAACCTGTTACTAAACTTCACCTCTGGAAACAGCTGATTGGGGGTATTCCGGGAAGCGGATCCACCTGCCAATCAGCTTTTTACGTATTTTCCTCCCCAAAAACTAAGGTGCATTTTATAATCCGAAAAATATGGTATGTGACTGTACTTCAGGTAATTTGCAGCCACATTGCATTTACGGAGATGTGCAGCGTCCCAGTCATATGACCTACATTTTATGGCTGTAAAAACCGTGCCAAAGCAAAGCGTCGGTTTGCTTAACGACGGGGGCATTTGCTTAATGACTGCACTGTCACTTAACAAATGTGACCAAAATTTCTGTTGTTAAATGAGACATTTGTTAGGTGAGTTTTGCCCCACCCATTTTACGCCCTTTCTTGCCACGGTTGTTAAATGAATCACTGCAATTGTATAAGTTATTAACCCAGTTGTTAAGTGAATGTGGCTTCCCCATGGACTTTGCTTGTCAGATGGACGCAAAAGGGGATCATGTGACCCTGGGACACTGCAACGGTCATAAATACAAACCAATTGCCAAGCATCTGAATTTTGATCATGTGATCATGAGAATGCTGCAAAGGTCATAACCCTGAGAAACAGTCGTAAGTCGCTTTTTTTCAGTGCTGTTGTAACTTTGAACGGTCATTAAATGAACTGTTCGTAAAAGTGGTGCGGTGGCCTAGAGGTGGAGCTCTCGCCTCACAAAATCAGGAGGCTGTGAGTTCGATCCTAGGTAGAGGCAGATATTTCTCTCTCTGGGCACGATGAGAATATATTTGCTGAACAAAACTCCGGATTGGTGACAGGAAAGGCATCCAGCCAGTAAACAACTCAGCTCCATTCGGTTGCCCAGACTCCACCCCGCAAGGTCGTTAAATGATGATGATGATGATTAAATGAACTGTTCTTTAGTCAAGGACTCCCTGTACATGCATACTAAAAGACACCGTCTCAAACGTTTTGCCGAATGGAGATACTTGCCAGCCGGGGTACATTAAATAACGAGTTGCCAGCATCTGAGGGCCAGAGAAGCTGTTTTCTGAGAGAATTAGCTCGATGTCCTCATTCCTAGTGGGAGAGAATCAAAATGTTATTGACTTATTAATATTTAGTGAGGTGTTGTTTTCACAGGGCCTTAAAGAGGTCTTTATTTTTTTTTTAATTGTATTTTTATTGTTAAAGAATAACAGAAAAAAAAAACAATACAAAAATCAATAATAAAGAAAAAAAAATTTTTTTTCCCAACATGCTATACAGATGGAAAGGAAGTTTTAGGAAATTCAAGTCTTCAATTCTTCCAGAAATCTCTTTGATAAGGTACTGGCGCCGATTCATCCAATCTCCCAAGTGCAAAGTCCACAAATGGTTGCCAAGTGTTCCAAAAAACATTCTCTTTATATATACCACTTCTAATTTTAATATCACAAGTCAATTTATCATTTAATGCAAATTTCCATGTTTCATTATACCATTCTGAGGCCTTTCTGAAACTTGATCTCTCCAGATGTGTTCAGGGCTGAGGTTTCCAATTGTCCAATTGGCATCCCAGCTTCAAAGGCTGTATTGTGTTATGTGCCAAAACCCCAGAAGTAGAAGTGGGCTTTACATAATTTGTCAGAGTTTGTTGCAAAAAATCAAATCCAGAAAAGCACACACAGGCAGACTGATTCAGCTGGATTCATTAACTTCTTTATATACATAATAACAGATGAAGTATTTACAATACCAATAGTTGATTCTTCAACATGGTAAAAGTTACAGACAGAACACAAGGCAGGAGGGGACAGTTAGTTTCATTTCAGCAGAGCAGATCAGTAGACACGTTCACTCCCATACACACACACACGCGCACACAAACACTGGTTTCAGTTTCAGTTCTCTGCACAGACTCAGAAGCTGCAGACTAAGACACGGCCTGGCTCCAGTCTGCCTCAGCTCCCAATTGGCTGACTTAGTTGCTATGCCTATTCATTGGCTGTCCTTGTAACCATGTCTCTGCCAGTTCATGAATAATCTGACAAATTTAACAACCGCTTCGCCTAGTGCAGAACCGAAAATGTGAGTGCGCATGTGCGCCTTTCACACTTGCGTGCGGCTTCAAACACACGGTAATTTCATGCACGTGGCTTCCAGCACACCTTCTCAGGCAGCCGCAGTGAGTAGAGTGGGCGAGGCGTGGGAACTCAGCTGCGTGGGTGGGGCAAGCGAGAGCGATATATATAAGATGGGATAACACCAGGCGAGTTGGCAGCTGATGGTCGGAACGACCGATTCGGGCGAACCGGCCTAAACCGGTAGCAGTCCACCTCTGCCCAGAAGTGACATCAGGTAAAGAAAAACTGATCCCAAACTCTAAAGCTTTATGGAAAAGTTCATTCTCTCTTTCTCTGAGTCCAAGCTACGAGACCTGTTTTATCTTGTCCTGGCTTACAATGCTTATTTATTTATTTATGACATTTATATGCCGTCCTGCCTCACTGATAAGGTGGTTCTGGCCGGCTTTCACAATTAATAAAAAGATAACTATGAAAGTCATTAGATACGGCAGCATGTTCAAAACAATCGTAACAAGTAAACTACTTTTGACATTGAGGATAAAAAGAGCCATTGATCAGGTTACGGCATCAGGCTAGAAAGCAGGAGACTAGTTCTGCCTTAGGCGTGAAAGCCGGCTGGGTGACTTTGGGCCAATCACCAGGAGATGGTGAGTTCTAGTCCTGCCTTAGGCATGAAAGCTGGCTGGGTGACTTTGGGCTAATCACCAGGAGACGGTGAGTTCTAGTCCTGCCTTAGGATGAAAGCTGGCTGGGTGACTTTGGGCCAATCACCAGGAGACGGTGAGTTCTAGTCCTGCCTTAGGCATGAAAGCCGGCTGGGTGACTTTGGGCCAATCACCAGGAGACGGTGAGTTCTAGTCCTGCCTTAGGCATGAAAGCCGGCTGGGTGACTTTGGGCCAATCACCAGGAGACGGTGAGTTCTAGTCCTGCCTTAGGCATGAAAGCCGGCTGGGTGACTTTGGGCCAATCACCAGGAGACGGTGAGTTCTAGTCCTGCCTTAGGATGAAAGCCGGCTGGGTGACTTTGGGCCAATCACCAGGAGATGGTGAGTTCTAGTCCTGCCTTAGGCATGAAAGCTGGCTGGCTGATCTTGGCCCAGTCCCTCCCTCTCAGCCCAACCAATCTAACAGAGTTGTTGTTGTGGGAGAAAGTAGGATGAGGAAACCGCTGGCTGTGTTTGCCACCTTGAGTTATTTATAAAAATAACGAAGGTGGGATACAAATAGAAATATATAGAGGTATATTTTTAACGGCTGATCTTTTTCCAAGGAAAATGCAGCCAGGACTAAGCCACATGCTATTTCTCAAGCTTTTATCATTTGGGGACTTTTAAAATGCCTTATGGATTACCGAGTGACGATGCCGTTTTCTGCCAGGATAAAAGAAACGGAAGAGTTGGCAGCTCGGATGAGTTTCTGCAGCTGGACAAGGAGTGGGCTTCTCTGCTCGGTTGTATGGCTTGTGAACACCACGTTACTCACTAAACCTGCCGAGGAAAAAAAGACCCTCAACGCAAGGACAAGAATGCTCCGTTCTTTGGAGTTTCAGAATGCCATTTTGTAAAACAGAGGTGGGGAACGATGGCCCCTTTATGACTAGGGGACTTCAACTCCCAGAATTCCTCAGGTAGCCAAGGAATTCTGGGAGTTGAAGTCCACAGTTCATAAAAAGGGCCTCTGTTGCCCCCTCCCTTGCTGGCTTAGGAATTCTGGGAGTTGAAGTCCAAAGGTCATAAAAAGGGCCACTGTTGCCCCTCCCACTTGCAGGCTCAGGAATTCTGGGAGTTGAAGTCCACAGTTCATAAAAAGGGCCTCTGTTGCCCCTTCCACTTGCTGACTTAGGAATTCTGGGAGTTGAAGTCCAAAGGTCATAGAAAGAGCCACTGTTGCCCTCCCACTTGCTGGCTCAGGAATTCTGGGAGTTGAAGTCTACAAGTCTTAAAACTCAAAGGTGCTTTTTTTTCCATGAGGCAACCGGAAATTTCTTGTTTTTCTTTTGAAGACGTTTTGCTTCTCATCCAAGAAGCTTCTTCAGCTCTGACTGGGATGGTGTGGAGAGTGGAAAGATCCAGTCAGAGCTGAAGAAGCTTTCTGGATGAGAAGCAAAACGTCTTCAAGGAAAAAACAAGAAATTCCGGTTGCCTCTGGGGAAAAAAAAGGGGGAAAAACTGTGATTTTGGGACAACTGTGACCTGAATGGCTGAGAAACTCCACAGACCCATAGTCTTAAAGTTGCCAAGTTTGGAAACCCTTGCTCTATCTGTTTGTGGCATGATGGCTAACTCCTTCAGACGGGCCTTCTAGAAGAAACGGCTGTGATCTCCAGACCATGTGGCTTTTGGTAACTGAGGATTATGGGCATCCCGCTGCAGGATCTTTGGGAAGAGGTTCATTTCTGCAAGACAATTTAGGAGAAATACTGACCTTGCGAACACTGGTCCAGAAACTTGGGGAAGAGAAACCTGAAAAAAAGACAAAGGGTGGATGTGGGAATCTTTTTTTTGTTTTTAATTTGATTTATATGCCGCCCTTCTCCGGAGACTCAGGGCGGCTTACAATGCGTTAAGCAATAGCCTTCATACTTTTGTATATTTATACAAAGTCAGCTTATTGCCCCCACAAACTGGGTCCTCATTTAACCCACCTTAGAAAGGATGGAAGGCTGAGTCAACCTTGAGCCTGGCGAGATTCGAACTTACAGTAATTGCAGGCAGCTGGTGTTAATCACAATGCTATCAGTCTGCTGAGCCACCAGGCCCTTTTAGAGAAAATTAATCCTTGACAAGCTGGTTCTCGGGATTCAGATTCGATTCTGCAGATTTTGACATTTTGTTAGTGAACAGACTTCTCGACCGAAAGCTCAGGGAATATAATTTACGGGGCACGAGAGTTCCTGAATAAGACTTAAGCTTTTAAGTCTGTCTTCCTCAACCTTGGCCAGTTGAAGATGTGTGGACTCCAAGTCCCCGAATTCCCCAGCCAGCCATGCATGCATGGCTGGCTGGGGAATTCTGGGACTTGAAGTCCACACATCTTCAACTGGCCAAGGTTGAGGAACATTGCTTTAAACATTTTCCTCCTGCAGGTAGTTTGCTGTGCTCTTCAAGGGCACGGAAGCCATCTGAGATCCAATCATTTTATCCGTTCTTGGGTAATCTCAGCCATTTTGGCCTAATTTGGGGTCTCCAAATTGGCATCTTTAAGACTTGTGGACTGCAACTTTGCCTGGCTGGGGAATTCTGGGAGTTGAAGTCCACAGGTCTTAAAAAGTTGCCAAGTTTTGGAGACCTCTGGGTTTAAGGCCTCAGGCTAGAATGCCGGAGACGGGAGTTCAAGTCCCCACTTTAGCCATGAAAGCCAGATGGGTGACTTTTGGGCCAAGTCGCGCTCTCTCTCTCCCTCAGCCCAAACCCACCTCGTAGGGTTGTTGTGGGGAAAAATAGGAGGAGGAAGGTGTGCTGAATATGTCTGCTGCCTGGAGTTATTTGTAAAAAAATAATAAAAGACGGGATACAAGTAAATAAATTAAATGAATCAAGAGCGGCCTTCCACAACAGTCTCAGTTTTTTTATGCGGGGAAAATTAATTGCCCACACCTTGACCTGCTAGAACAGGTACCTGGGCACGGAAATGGGGCGTGTACCTGTGTTCCATGTAAGAGCTGAGGGGCTCGACACACGTTGTGACTGCGCCAATCACAAAGGAGGCCTTCACGTCTGCATCCGGGTGAGTCTGAAGGGCCTGGACGACGTCAATCACGTCGGTGTATCTGTGGAGGACATCATGCAAATTTTTGCTTAACGACTGATTTTTGCTTAACAGCTGATTCGCTTAACAGCCATGGGGAAAAAAAAGCTGTAAAATCAGACGTGACTCATTGTAGTCCTCACATTACAACCATTCATTTAGTGACCAAGGTTAAAACGGCTCTGAAAAAAGTGACTTATGACCGTTTTTCACACTTATGACTGTTACAGCATTCCTGTGATCACGTGATCAAAATTTGGAAACTTGGCAAGTGACTCCTATTTATGACGATTGCAGAGTCACTGTTTGCGACCGTCTGACCCGCAAAGTCAATGGGGAAGCCAGATTCACATAATAAGTGTGTCTTCTGGGTGCGCTTCAAGGTATTGGTTCTCATCTTTAAAGCGCCCCATGGTTTAGGGCCCGGGTATTTACGAGACCACCTTCTGCCACCGATAATCTCCCACCGGCCAATCCGCTCCCACAGAGAGGGCCTCCTCAGGGTGCCATCGGCCAAGCAATGTCGACTGATGACTCCCAGGGGGAGACCCTTCCCTGTGGGGGCACCCTCCCTCTGGAACGAACTACCCCCAGGAATACGACTGATCCCGGACCTCCGTACTTTCCGTCGAGCTTTGAAGACCTTCCTATTTCAGCAAGCTGGGCTGGCTTGAAATTTTAATGGGTTATTTTATGGGCAAAGGGTTTTAAATTTTGGGAAGCCAATTTAATTTAATTCTGTTTTAATTTATTTTAATTTTTATATTGCATGTATTTTAATCTTGGCTGTTCACCGCCCTGAGTCCTTCGGGAGAAAGGCGGTATACAAATTACAAACCTAAACCTAAACCTACTAACAGCTGCAGTGTGTTGTGGCCTGTTGGCCGCCGGACCCTCCAGCAGCCGAATCAGAGGAGGAGGAGGAATCAGGGTCAGCATCAGGGCAACCTGAGAGCTCCGAGGTGGGGAAGAGGGAATAGAGGTGGCAGAGAGAGAGGGACAGAGGAGGAGCCTGGGCCATCCGTCAGCCCTCAGATGGAGAGTCAACAGCCCCCAGGTCTGGAGGTGGCTGATGAGGAAGAGGAGGAACAGCTGGGTCCAGTGCCTGATGCACAGAAGGCAGAGGAGAGGAGAGCAGTGGAAATCTATGGGCCGGTCCTCAGGACGGAAGAGCCACTGCTGCTAGCGAGGCCCCACCCTGGCTCTGGGGATAAAAGGCAGGGGGTTGTTCTGCCCCAGCTCCGGATTCCCGAGGATATAGACACACACCAACGGTCCTTATCAAATTTATTAAGTAGCAAGAATAAACCAAAGTCCGGCAAAGGTTGGCAACCAGCCCAGAAAGCAAGATACGATAAGACTTTTCCAAAAATGCTGATGATAATTACAAGTTGTTTCTAGCAAGAAACTTACTAACGGCGTGTGACTTAAATAGGCTAAGGGAGTGGCCAATTATCCTAAAGCCTTACTCTCGAGGAGACCTCCTCCTCCTGAGTAGCCACTCCTGCCTTTTGGCAGCCCTGCGTGCTCGAGCATTGAGGAGAGGCTCCTCCACTTCGCTCTCTCCACTGGAAGGAGTCTCTGGAGGTTCTGAAGGCCCCGGCTGAGTCTCTGCCTCTGCCACCACATCCTCTTCAGCCTCCTCGCTGTCTGACGCGAGCGCCGGCTGCGCAGGCTGCTGGCGCGACACCACACCAGCCTCCTCGTCGTCGGGATCAGCCACGATCTGTGCAGGCCACTGGCGGGCCACAACAGGGGCAGAGATGAATAGACAACTATTCATCTCCCTGCCGGACAGACTTGTTAGCCTGCGATGAGGGAGAAAGTTTTTGCCGGGGCTGCAGGCGCTCCTAATAAAGGAATCATTGTGTTAACTTCAAAGGGTTGGTCGTATTTGGGGAGCTGGGTCAGAACACAGTGATTCGCTTAACGACCGAGGCAAGAAATGTCGTAAAATGGGGCAAAACATAAATATAGCCACATAAATTTTGGGCTCGGTTGTGGTGGTAAATCAAGGACTGTCTGTAGAAGAAAGAACACAAAACCCCGCCCCACAGGTGCAGCGATGGGAATTTGCTTCAATAAATGCATCTTGGGGGGGGGGCATCTAGAAAATGGCCGTCGAGCTGTGATTCGACTTCTGGGCAAAAGTCTCCGTCTTCTTCGTTGGATCACAGAGTCGGGATTGTGAAGCTTCTGAGCCCAACCTTCTGCTCAGGGCAAGGCTCCAAATCTCAGCATCCCCGACAGATGGTCGTCCAACCTCCATGTGAACCTGTGCAGGGAAGGTTAGCCCACCACGCTCAGGGTCACGGGCCCCCCTGTCAAATCGTTGTCACTGTAGGCATTTTTAAAACATGTATCCTCAGCCGGGCCGGGCCCCACGTTGCTCTTAACCTCCACCCAATGATTCTGTATCATGGCTTGTAACACAACAGAAAGCAGGTCCTAACCTCCTCCTGCGTGGCGCCCTTTGAAAATGCCATCCTCTGCTCTCTTGGCCCTCGTGGCTAAATCTTGCCATCTTCTCCTTCGGTTGTTTTGAGGTAGGAGTTCATTTCTGCGTCGGATAGGAAAGGATGCTGGTGGCTCGGGGCTGAACTGTTGAGGTCCTCGGCGCTCCCTGAGCTTAGTGGCAGACGTTTTATGACCCAACTACGTAACCTCATCGATGTTAGAAGGCAGGTGGGAGGGTTGCAAAGAGGAGGAGGAGCAGGAGGACTGAGGGGTCCTTGGTGCTTTTAGAACTTGGTGGTTTGCTTGTAGATGTTTCATGACCAAACTAGATAACAATATCAGTGCTAGAAAGGAGTGGGATTTTCAGCGGGGAGGAGGAGGAGGAGGACAACTGTGGGGCTCTTGGTGCTCTCAGAACTTGGTGATTTTTTTGTAGATGTTTCATTACCCACTTAGGTAACATCATCAACGCTAGAAGGGAGTGGGGGTTGCAGAGGAGGAGGAGGAGGAGAACTGTAGGGCCCTTGGTGCTCCTGAGCTTGGTGGTTTTCTTGCAGACATCTCATGACCCAACTAGGTAATATCATCAATGCTAGAAGGGAGTGGGGGTTTGCAGAGTAGAAGGGAAGAGGAGGAGGGGGACAATGACCGTAGGATCTTTCGGTTCTTTCTGAGCTTGGTTGTTTCCTTGCAGACGTTTGGGGGCTCAACTGAGATTGTAAATCCAGGACAACTTGTTATTACTTTCTTACAGCTGGACAGCTCCGTTTGATGTGATCTGTTCCAGATGTGCTCGGCTGCAACTCAGATGCTGATGGAGGGGGGGAGAAGAGTGGGCACATCTGGAAGGCATCATATTTGGGACGGTCCATGCTCAGAGACCATCCGCATTCAAATGCTAGATGCCCCCCCTGCCTCCCCCAGGGAAAACAACGGCCTTGAGGGACTGTTTGCAAGTTTCCGCGAGGAATGCAAGTTGGCTCAGCCTTCAGATTCTGGATTATGGGCACAGAGACCCCTCCAAACGCAATAGGCAGCCTCTTGCCATTTTTATTTCTTTATTTATTGAGACACTCTTCCCAGTGAATCCAAAACGGGCCTAGGCCAGCAAGAGGAGAAGGATGTGGCCCCTTTTTCTTGATTTCCCTAATCAAATCCATCTTTTTCGCAGATGGGATGCAGCTGCTGGATTTTGGGACGATCTCCCGAGAAGTCGGTTTGGATCATCCCGATCGCACACGCGTGGCTTTTTTGCGAGCTTTGTCGATCACGTGAAGGCATTTATCTGTGGTTGTTTGGCCACATCTGTCGAAGGCCCCCATCTAATTCTTAATTTCACACTTTAAATTTCGCCGAAAAGGCTAATGGTTGTGCTGATCCGTTAAGTTCTAAAATTAGAAAGGCGTTTAGCTGAGGTAAAAACAGCCTTTCTGAAGACTTCCCAGGGTCTCTTTCGTGTTTTAACAAAACACAGAATAAACGCATACTCTGGAGTTCACCTCAACATTTTAAATAGAATTTACACAATACTCTGAAGATTTCCACACTTCATGCATAATTCCCTCGACTTAAACAGGACTTCCCTTGGGGGAAAGAGATTTAAGGCACTCCGCCCAAGATACAATGCTGGCCACATCCTTTTTTACTACTTATTTAGGGAATGTGATTTTAATCAAGAATAAGGCCACTTGCCCCTCCCCCGAGGAACTCCTGATCGCTTACTAAAAAAATCACAATATACTCGTTATGTATATTAAAAGCCAGTGGCTTATTATTAAACATCTTGTGTTTCGTAAAATCCGTTTTTTCCCTCCCTTTCAAAACTGGCTTGGTTAACTTGAAAAAGGTAAAGGTTCCTCTCGCATGTATGTGCTGGTCGTTCCCGACTCTAGGGGGCGGTGCTCATCTCTGTTTCAAAGCCGAAGAGCCAGCGCTGTCCGAAGATGTCTCCGTGGTCATGTGGCCGGCATGACTCAATGCCAAAGGCGCACGGAACGCTGTTCCCTTCCCACCAAAGGGGGACCCTATTTTTCTACTTGCATTTTCTTTTTTACGTGCTTTCGAACTGCTAGGTTGGCAGAAGCTGGGACAAGTCACGGGAGCTCACCCCGTTACGCGGCACTAGGGACTCGAACTGCTGAACTGCCGACCTTTCGATCGACAAGCTCAGCGTCTTCGCCACCGAGCCACCGCGGCCCTGACTTGAAATAGAGGCTGTGTTTTTTTTCGAATGGATATATGTGTGGCAAAAAGTATACAATCACAGATGCGCCCAACATTTCTGCGGCTAAAGCGAGACATTTGTTCAGTGGGTTTTGCCCCATTTTACGACCTTCCTTGCCAAAGTTGTTAAGTGAACCGCTGCAGTTGTTAAGTTAGTCACACGGTTGTTAAGCGAATCTGGCTTCCCCCGTGGGCTTTGCTCGTCAGAAGGTCGCGAAAGGGGATCACGTGACCCTGGGACACTGCGACTGTCATAAATACGAGTCAGCTGCCAAGCGGCTGAATTTTGATCAGGTGACCACGGGGACGCTGCAACGGTCGTAAGTGTGAAAAATGGTCGTAAGTCACTTTTTCCAGTGCCGTTGTAACTTCAAATGGACACTAAAAGAACTGTTGTAAGCCGAGGACTATACAGTATGTACTGAGCCCAAGTAGGTTAAAGCAACAATAAAGTATCTCGTAAGATAAAAGAAATTTTTAAGCACTCCAAGGGGCTTGGTCTTCATTTCTCTTAACAGATTTGATTTTTTCCTCCACTTTAATTAACTTCTGCAGGCAGTTCTCGCCTGAAGACTGTTTCTTTAGCGACTGTTTGAAGTTACAACTGGCTCTCACATTTACAACTGTCACAGCATCTTCACCGTTAACATGACCAGAATTTGGGGGCTTGGAAACTGGCATGTATTTACAATGGTTGCAACGTCTGGGGTCATGGGGTGATCGCACATTTGCTGTAAGACCGCCCAGAGTCACTTTCGAAATGAGATGGTGGCAAATAAATTTGATAGCTAGATAGCTGGATAGATGTGTGTGAGAGAGAGAGAGAGAATAGATAGATGATACATGATTGAGAGATGATAGATAGATAGATAGATAGATAGATATAATAGAGAGATGATAGATATAGAGAGATAGAGAGATATAGAGAGAGATGTAAGAGAGAGAGAGATAATAGATAGATGATACATGATTGAGAAATAATATATAGATATAATAGAGAGAAATTATAGATACAGTATAGATGATAGATAGATATAATAGAGAGATGATAGAGATAGAGAGATGTAAAAGAGAGATAATAGATAGATTACATGATTGAGAGATGATATATAGACAGACAGATAGATATAATAGAAATGATATAGATGATAGATAGATATAATAGAGAGATGATAGATAGAGAGATAGAGAGATGTGTGTGAGAGAGAGAGAGAGAATAGAAGATGATACATGATGAATGAGAGAGATATAGATAGATAGATATATAGAGAATAGATAGATAGAGAGAATGATAGATATAATGATAGATAGATAGATATAATAGAGATGATATAGATAGAGAGATAGAGTATATAGATAGATGTAAGAGAGAGAGAGATAATAGATAGATGATACATGATTGAGAAATAATATATAGATAGATATAATAGAGAGAAATGATAGATACAGTATAGATGATAGATAGATAGATATAATAAAGAGATGATAGAGATATAGAGAGATGTAAGAGAGAGAGAGATAATAGATAGATTACATGATTGAGAGATGATATATAGACAGACAGACAGACAGATAGATATAATAGAAATGATATAGATGATAGATATAATAGAGAGATGATAGATATAGATAGAGAGATAGAGAGATAGATAGATGTAAGAGAGAGAGAGAGATAATAGAGAGATGCTACATGATTGAGAGATGATATAGATCAGAGGTGGGTTTCAGCAGGTGCTGACCAGTTCTGGAGAACGGTAGCGGAACTTTTGAGTAGTTCGGAGAACCGGTAGTAAAAATTCTGACTGGCCCCGCCCCCATCTATTCTCTGTCTCCCGAGTCCCAGCTGATCGGGAGGAAATGGGGATTTTGCAGTATCCTTCCCCTGGAGTTGGGTGGGAATGGAGATTTTACAGTATCCTTCCCCTGACATGCCATCAAGCCACGCCCACCAAGCCATGCCATGCCACGCCCACCAAGCCACACCCACAGAATCGGTAGTAAAAATTCTGACTGGCCCCGCCCCCATCTATTCTCTGTCCTTCAAGTCCCATCTGATCGGGAGGAAATGGGGATTTTGCAGTAACCTTCCCCTGGAGTGGGGTGGGAATGGAGATTTTACAATATCCTTCCCCTGCCACGCCTACCAAGCTACACCCAAAGAACCAGTAGTAAAAATTTCTGAAACCCACCACTGATATAGATGAGATAGATAGATAGATATAATAGAGAGATGATACTGTAGATATAGATAGATAGATAGATAGACAGACAGACAGACAGACAGACACACACACACACACACAGAGAGAGAGAGAGAGGGGCAGGCAACTTTCCCAGCCCAGTTTGTTTATTTATTTATTTATTGGTTCGATTTATATGCCGCCCTTCTCCGGAGACTCAGGGTGGCTTCCAATGCGTTAAGCAATAGCCTTCATACTTTTGTATATACCTGCTTTTGGCCCCCCCTAAACGGTGTTCTTTTTTATACAAAGTCAGCTTATTGCCCCCACAAAACGGGTCCTCATTTTACCGACCTCGAAAGGATGGAAGGCTGAGTCAACCTTGAGCCTGGTGAAATTTGAACTTGCAGTAATTGCAGGCAGCTGGTGTTACTTAACAGTGCTTTAGTCTGCTGCGCCACCAAGGATTCCAAAAATCAAAGGGGAAGCTGGATTTGCTTAGTGACCGCACAATTCATTTAACACCTGCAGTGATCTGCTTAACAACCGTGGGCCAAAACTGCTGTAAAATTGGGCGGTTACTCATTTAACAACCCCTTTTGCTGAGCAATGGAGATCCTGGTTCCAATTGTTCCAAGTCAAGGACCGGCCGCATAAAGTCCAAGAGAGAAACCAAATCATCCTTCAACAAGGAAGTGAAAATGGGTACATTTCTTTAAAAAAAACAAACCCACCACCCTGATAAGTGGGTGAAACTTCTTACCCTTGAAGGACCACCAGCAGCCTCATCTTCTTCCGGTGATAAGCAGAGGGCCGGCTGCTTCGGCTGTGCTGAGATTCAAGGACCCCTGAGAGGTACTTCTGGAAGTGGGCAGCACTGAAGCATTCAGGACTGTCCATGGTTTGGCGATAAACAAGCCACCTGAAGGAAAGGAAGATGGTTTATTTGCTGCGCTCACCGCAGCCTGCTCCGTTCCTCAACCCAACCTGGTTAAAACAGGGGCACGACAAACTTGGCTTCCATAGACAAGAATTATTTGTAGCTTGGAGTTGTGGGGTCTTTGGTGCTCTCTGAGCTTGGGGGTTTTCTTGCAGATGTTTCATGGGCCAGCTGTTCTGTCCCCATACCACACACTCACCCCCACAGATGGCCCGGAGTTAAATAAAGCCACACGACAAAACTCTTTGAAGATAAAGCTGGCAGCAACCCAGTGGCTAGCTGCCAATTCAGACTTTACTCACACAAAACAAAGATTAGACTGCAAGCATTCCGATAAACCAGGCAGAGTGTCAATAATACAAGGATTAATCCAAATGCAGTCCGATAAAGCAGGCAAAGTCCAGTAACACAGAGATCATGGAGTATTTCCAGTTTTTGCTTGTCACAAACTTATTCCCTGTGGGGTGTGGTCCAGTGACTCAGCTAATCTCTGGCACGCCTTCCCCTCTGCTGTGCACACTTCTCCCTGCGCCTCTGTCGAGGGTCCAGCCAGCACTTATCTTCTTCATCGCTGTCCACCTGTGGCTGCGGGGACGTGCTTGGCTCTGAGCCTATCATTTGGCCTTCGGTGTCCTCCGGAGGCATTGCCAGAGAGGAGGGTCCTGGAGAGGGAGGCCTTGCCAACTGAAGCAATTTGCAGGGAACAACTTCGTTCACATATCTTTGTGTCTTGTTTTGCTTATCTTATCAGCTTCCTGCAAATTGCTTCTGGGCGTTCTGCCAACCACAGTAAGCTTTCAGTATTATTCTTTGAATTCTTGGCGGATGTTAATGCAGTCAATTAACAGCCGTTGTTGTAAAAAACTGGTTTATTTAGTAAACTAAGGTTTGAACGGACTTTGTGTGTGCTGCTGGGTCCGTAGCTGGGGCAGAACAATAACTGGAGAAGTAAACATGCCTACATTTTGCACAATGATAGGGGGCAACTGTCCTTACAGGGAGATCGGTCAGACCGCAAGGTGTTAGACTGCCCAGGATTTCACCTGAACATAACTTTTAATCAACCATCAAGAAAGGACAAAAAAAATCAGGTTCTACCAACCTTCCATATTCTTTGTTAAACGTAACCAAGAATGAGCATAATTCACTTGATTGACACCCAGGAAGACCTGTCAAGATGGTAATCACCACCTCAAAAAGAGAAAGGAGTGTTAAGATTATGAAACTGTCATGCTTTTTGGAAAAAATAATGATGGACTATCACTATTTAGGCTCAGGACTCAGGATTTTAAATCTGAAGAAGCTGAACCTGTGGAATATCGGTCTCGGGAGACACCAAGTCAAGAGCCACCAAGCCCTGAGGCTGATCAAAAATAGTGGCCCTGGGACTGCTGAAAGAGTCAGATGAAGATGAGGTCCTAGTCCTGCACACAGGTAGAGAGGACCGCAGAGCGGAGATGTGCTAGGACGCTCCTTGCCAAGCAAGATAATAAATCTCTTGGTCTGCAGCCTGATTTAAGAGGCAACTCTGACTCATATTCCTTTTGCTGGAAACAACATCTCAACTCCAGCGCCTGCGTAATGTTCCTGTGAATCCCGTTAGCCAAAGAAACCTTGAACTTCTGACCTCTGGATTGGCCGATAATCCTGATCCGGCTCTTGGAACCTTGGACTGATTTTGGACTATTCTTCTGTGCGCTCCTATTTAAAAGCCAATCATTCAGACAAATGTCTGAGACGCTTTTCTGGATTGCATTCTTTTGTTATCTCTCGACCTCGAATAAACTGAATTACCACTGCGACTCTGTATGACTCAGTAGTTGAAACCAGGAAGATATAGAAATATTGTAAATTGTGTAAAGCAAACAACAACTTGGGAGATGAAAAGCAATGCATGATTTACGACGATCACCTTACCTTATCATTCTCTTTCTCATTATTAGGAATGTCCTCAGTCTGCTGCAAAAGCACCGGCAGATGGAACCTCATCACTGGTTCTTGGCTGACGCTACTGATAGTAAAGTGCTGTAGAAAACTTTGAAGGAATAAGCGGAGTCAGAATTACTCCATTGTCCTCACATTTAGTCTATTTGCTTTTTTGGAGATGCACTGAAGGGAATCCTCTGAAGACCTTCTTTATGTCCATGTAGAGCAGCCAAGATGGAGCTGAACTATCTGAGAAGGCTTCATGTTCTAATGACTTTGTCCAACCAATGTTTCTCAACCTTGGCGACTTGGGTGGATTTCAACTCCCAGAATTTTCCACTCAGCTGAATTCTGGGAGTTGAGAATCCACCCATTTTCAAGTTGTTAAGGTTGTGAAACAGTGGTCCAATGGAAATATGGAGCACCTACTCAACCCTGACTGATCACAAGAAGCTCGCCTAGCATATCTCGTTAATATTTGAATGAGAGGCGATCTGGGAATCTCAATGTTGAAGATGGATGAAGAAGTTAGAAAGCACGTAGAAAGCAGATCATTGCAAAACAACTCCAAGTTCTTTGCAAAAAATCTACCTGGGCCTTTGGAGTTAACTCAACTACAGAAAACGTCACTTGTTACAATCCCAGAAAATTCCCACTCATTCAATGAGAGACCTTCACACAGCACAGAGAGACAGGCATCTTGCTCATAAGTACAGCTTCCAAATATTCCCAAAAGTAGGACCAATGACAAGGATGTCCCAAAGGTGCTTTCTTTCCTGGACTTTTAAAGTTTTTTTTTTCCTTTGAAAACATTTTACTTGTGATCCAAGAAGTTTCTTTAGTTCTTCAGATGAGAAGCAAAATGTTTTCAAAAGAAAAACCAAGAAAACTCCAGGTGCCTTTTGGTGAAAGCACCTTTGGGACAAATGTGACCTGGATGATTGAGAATCCCCTTAGATCAGTGTTTCTTAACCTTGGCAACTTTAAGAGGTGTGGACTTCAACTCCCAGAATTCCCTAGCCAGTACAGCTGGCTGGGGAATTCTGGGAGTTGAAGTCCACACCTCTTAAAGTTGCCAAGGTTGAGAAACATCATCATAGACGATGGCAAGGAGGCTGGGAATTGCAGCTGAGCAATGGTGGGGGGGGGGGCGCATATGACCGACACATCATGCAATTAAAAATGACACAATTGGACTTCTGTGGGATCATCCGGGTTTGGCTCAGAACAAAGAACTTGTGGGAAGCTCTCACCTGGCCAGATCTGGGAGGCTGCTAAGCAGTCTTACTTGGTTCCATCGTTCTCCAGCAGGATAGGATAAGACTTCAAAGAGCTTTTGCATGTTGGAATGTCTAAAAAAGAAGGACACTAATGAATTGTGTAGCCCTTACAACTCATGTCAACACAAAAGTGTAAAGACACAACTACAGTCGTGGCCCAAATTGTGGAAACCTTTTGGGAAAAGTGTATTTTCTAAACGTGGCTAATAACACAACTTTTTTTTTTCTGAGTAGTACCATAAAGTTACATATCAATGGAAAGATAATTTAATCAAGAATGTAATGCAATAACTTTTATGAAGGATTTGCTATTAGAAGAGCAGTTACAGTATAAAGAAGAAAAGTGAAACACGTAGAAAAAACGAGAAATACAAAAATGATCACCATAGAAAAAACGAGATATATAAAGATGATCCCCATGCCAGTTAATATTTAGTTGGGTAACCTTTAGCATGAATGATGGGCCTTACGACGTCTTCCCATGGAGTGAACCAAGTCTTTTAGTTCTGCAGCTGTTCTAATGTGAAACGAAGATGGAATGATGGCTTCTATTAACTGGGTTTTATTGCTGGATCGCTTCTGACTAACAAGTTTCTTTAGTCGGTTCCATAGATTTTCCATTGGGTGAAGGACTGGGCTATTCCCAGGCCATTCCAGCAGTGGAATAGGATTCTCTTGAAACTCCCCCCAAAAAGTGGTGTTATTAGCCATCAAGCCTCAAAAATACACTTTTCCCAAAAGGTTTCCACAATTTTGGCCACTACTGTAGGTCTTAATGTCTTAAATCAGGGGTGTCCAACCTTGGCCACTTTAAAGACTTGTGGACCTCAACTCCCAGAATTCCCCAACCAGCACAGCTGTCTGGGGACTTCTGGGAGGTGAAGTCCATGGGTCTTAAAGTTGTCAGGCTGGGGAATTCTGAGATTGAAGTCTACGGATCTTAAAATTGACTGCCTGGGGACGCCTGGGAGTTGAAGTCCATAGGTCTTAAGTAGTCAAGGTTGGACATCCCTGCCTTAAACACGAATGTTCAACATGGGGTTAGTCTACAAGAACGTCAAGTCTTTTATCTCAACTGCTTCCCCACAGATCCCCTCCCTGCCTTCTCTTCAATGCTGCTTGTGCAACACAAGAATTGGAATAAAAACAGCTTACAATCTCTCCTGTTCTGCAGACAGGCCATCGTCCTGGATCGTTTTTAACGTTACTCCCGAATTTCCCGGTTGTTGCCAGGCGGAAAAGACCTACAACGACAAAGCAGGTCTAACTTACAAAATGAGGCATATCACGGTTTAAATGAAGCTTGAAGGTGGGACCTGGTCAGGAGGGTGAGCCCCTCCGGTTGGTTACCGATAAAATGCTGGGTGAAGGTAAAGGTTCCCCTCGCACATATGTGCTAGTCGTTCCTGACTCTAGGGGGCGGTGCTCATCTCCGTTTCAAAGCCGAAGAGCCAGCGCTGTCTGAAGATGTCTCCGTGGTCATGTAGCCGGCATGACTCAACGGCAAAAGTGCACGGAACGCTGTTCCCTTCCCACCAAAGGTGGTCCCTATTTTTCTACTTGCATTTGTTTACCTGCTTTCGAACTGCTAGGTTGGCAGAAACTGAGACAAGTCACGGGAGCTCACCCCGTTACACGGCACTAGGGATTCGAACCGCTGAACTGCCGACCTTTCGATCGACAAGCTCAGCCACCAAGCCACCGTGTCCCTTATAAAATGCTGGGTACCCAAATGTAATTAAAAGTCCTTTCTATCGGTATTCTTTAATAATTGTGAATTGAATTGTGCCTCCTGACATTGCCAAGGCTGGTCACTGCTCTGCTAATCAATGCTACAAGACATCAATCAAACATGTTTGAAGTTTTAAAAAACTGCCTAATAATTAGGGGCTAGCAGAGGGTTAGAATAGAATAGAATGACAGAGTTGGAAGGGACCTTGGAGGTCTTCTAGTCCAACCCCCCGCTTAGGCAGGAAACCCTACACCACTTCAGACAAATGGTTATCCAACATCTTCTTAAAAACTTCCAGTGTTGGAGCATTCACAACTTCTGCAGGCAAGTTGTTCCACTGATTAATTGTTCTAAGTGTCAGAAAATTTCTCCTTAGTTCTAAGTTGCTTCTCTCCTTGATTAGTTTCCACCCATTGCTTCTTGTTCTACCCTCAGGTGCTTTGGAGAATAGATTGACTCCCCTCTTCTTTGGGGCAGCCCCTGAGATATCCTCCACCAGGCATGCTGCACCTTCTCTCCATTCTGCCAGAAGAGGAAGCAAGGTTACCTCCTCTCCCCTAAACAAAGGAGAGATGTTTGCACATAAACCGAACCCAGAGCACGGCTGACGTTACCTGGGAATAGAAAGCTTTATAAAGGGCTGACTTTGGGAAAACCGCAATCATCAGGAGGTTGTTTGGGGTGTGCAGCTGGACTGGCAAATGAGGAAGCAGGGAAGCCTTGTATTCTATAAAAAGCGCAGCAACCACACTGGTGGAATCCTGAAACAGAAAGAAGGAAGAAAAAAAAAAAAAGGAAAAAACTTAACGGGGAGAGATTTTGATATAAATTAAGCAAGGAGGAAGTTTATAATCCCTCTTTTTGATCCTTGATCTTCAGCATCCCAGGGCCGTATCTCCCTTACTCTGAAAACAGTATTTTAATTGCTGATTTTACATGTGGCTCCCCTCCTGCGCGAGCTGCACTGGCTCCCGGTGGTCTTCCGGGTGTGCTTCAAGGTTTTGGTTACCACCTTTAGAGCGCTCCATGGCATAGGACCGGGGTATTTATGAGACCGCCTACTACCACCAATAGCCTCTCACCAACCAGTTCGCTCCCATAGAGAGGGGCTTCTCAGGGTGCCGTCGGCCAAACAGTGTCGACTGGCGGCCCCCAGGGGGAGAGCCTTCTCTGTGGGGGCACCCGCCATCTGGAACGAGCTTCCCCCGGAGATACGGAGGATCCCGGATCTGCGCACGTTTCGTCGTGCTCTCAAAACATTTTTATTTCAGCAGGCTGGCCTGGCCTAACTCTCCCTTTTAAATTTTTTAAATCGTTTAATCTGTTTTACAAATTGGGTGTTTTAAATTTGTTTTCGGCCAAAATATTTAATAATTTTAATGGACTTTTAATGTTTGTATTATCTGTATTTTATCTTGGCTGTTCACCACCCTGAGTCCCTCGGGAGTAGGGCGGTATAGAAATTTGATAATAAATAAATAAATAAATAAATAAATAAATAAATAAATAAATAAATAAATGTAATTTAGATTGAAAATAGCCAAAACAGCTAGCATTGATCTTTCTGGAGGCACAAAAAGCGTTCGATAACATGAACTGGCAGTTTATGACGTCGCAGTTAAAAAAAACCATGAAATTCGGTGAAAACTTTGTGAAGGTGATCCAAGCAATATATCCTAATCAAACAGCGAAAGTGATAGTAAATAGAGAAATAACAGAAAAATTTGACAGAAACAAGGGGACAAGACAAGGATGTCCACTATCTCCTCTTTTATTCATACTAACCCTAGTATGACAGACCAGACAAGACTCCAGAAATAAAAGGTTTGAAGATAAATAAAGAACAATACAAAGTACAAGCTTTTGCAGACGACCTAGTATTTATTTTGGAGGAACCCCTAGAAACAGGACCCAAATTAATAAAGAAAATAGAAGAGTTTGGTGCGGTGGCAGGATTTAAAATAAACAAGGAAAAGACCACGATATTGACAAAGAACCTTACAAATAAACAGAAAATCGTACTGATGGAAAAGTTGGACAGCCAGATAACTAAAAAAGTTAAATACCTGGGAATTTGGCTAACAATAAGATGTACATCTATTACAATTCGATCTCATAACAAAAACATCCCTTAAGTCACTGTTTCTCAACCTTGGTAGCTTGAAGATGGGTGGACTTCAACTCCCAGAATCCCCCAGCCAGCCCACAGAAAAGAAAACACCGGGAGCCACAAAACCCTTCCCGTGCCTGACTATTTCTATTCCTGAGCGGCCACAAAACTAACATATATAGTTGATATATATATATCAACTATATATATATAAAATTAAAAATTAATTAATTAAAAATTTAAAATTCTGTTTTCTTCTGAAACTTTTCTTTTCTTGGATTTATCCATGGTTGGCTACCGGAGGTCAAAAAGCTTAATAAATTGTGCGTCGGTGGGGTGTCACACATTGGCAGTTGTGATGCATATTTTGAGCGACAGGGAGCCGCAGCAGAGGGGTGAAAGAGCCACATGCGGCTCCAGAGCCGCAGGTTGCTGACCCCTGGACTATCTAATTGAAGAGAATACTTGTAGCTCTGTGTTGAACTATGGAGTCCTTGGTTCTCTCTGAGCTTCGTGGTTTTCTGGTAGACCTTCCAT